ACAAGCTGCAGGTTAGTCAAGGCAAATGCCTACTTGCGAATGAATAAATACCCAACGCGATTGCTATGATGGTTCAAAGCACATAAACCACGCTCAAGTATTGGAATCGAAAGAATATATTGAAACACTTTTTATAGCAAACGCAGCAGCTGCTGCTATGAACAATAATGCACAGACTACGAACAAGTCAAACAACGCTGCAATTCTTAGTTTATTAAATAGTAGTCCCGCTAATTTAACTCAGCAGAAAGTTCAACCGCGGAGGATCTCTTTGAATACTTCCATCCCGTCTAGGGTTCTTAGTCACGGAAATGTTATTAATGTCCCGAACACTACCGGTCAGGTAAATAAATTAAATTGGTTCTCGCTTGAATATAAAATGATTTATATAATTTAAACAAATATATCTTTCAGGTAAGAGTAAGTTTAAGTTCAGCTCTGACGGGACAGTTAGGCTGTAAACAACAACCGGTGAAAGCAACAGCTGTAAGGTTAGCTCGTGTACAGGATCCTACGTCAACCCTAGGATTATCAATGCCAGGACTTTCAGCTTTGTTAGCAGGTATAACATAGGAAAATCCGTAACACACACCATTTATCGCTTTTAAATAATTATTATCTGGGGTTGGCACCCCCCGGGCCCGTTGAGAAGAGGTTTAGAAACTAGGAAAAGCGGGAGGGCACCGTAACTCAGGTGGTTAAGGCACAAACTCCTCAATCGAGAATCCAAAGAACATGGGTTCTTCAAGTTACGCCACACTCTTGGTCCCCTCTTTATCCTAGGTTTCTACAATTATTTAAAAATCTCAGTATTTTGTTTCGTCTGAACAGGAACGCCGTCTGCAGATAATCCAATACCAGGAATTAATTCCGGTTCTTCTTTGCTCGAACGATTAACCGCTTCTTCCAGTCAGAACAATCAGTCCACGAATCCAATGAGCACACCGCAATCGGCGAACGTAAACCTGCAGGGCGTAAATCTCACTAGTCTACCAAATTCGATCAACGGTCTTCAAAATGTTCAGGTTGTGGAGAGCTGCTTATTTTCTGCAAATGGCGTAGAAGATGAAATACTACTGTACTATTCGTTGTACGACAGGTATCATTTCCCGGATTATCACAACCTATTACGATGTCGCTGAACGTGTCAGCGACGACGGGTTCCGTTACACCTACAGGAGTCATTGTTTCCCTGCCTATATCGTCTGCAACCAATACTTGCACCACGGTTTCTAGTGTTAGTTTATTTACATTTCACGAATTTGCACGTTTAAACCAACTTTACATATTTAGAAAGTAAAATGTGATATCAATAAAATGTTTGTTTTTCTTTGTAGATGGTAGCTACTACAGTTGTTACCACGGCCAATGCTGGAAGTACACCGACGGTGGTAATAGCTAATCCTGCCAATACTCATTTATCGCTACCTATTGGTGAGAATTATTCTTTACGGTGTCCGATTTTCAGTATTCTTCTCGCGTTAAGATATTTTCATCGATAAATTAATGTTATAAATGGACATAATAAGATAAGTAAAAATGTTCCATACTTTGTGAATTAAATAATAGTCTATTTCCGTGTGTCTGTTTCAGCCCAGATAATACCTTCTGGTGTTAAAGGATTATCGCAACAAAATATACGTAGCAGTAATTCGGTCACTCTTTCACAGGTAGTTCACCGAATAAGTTTTAACATTTGAATTTTATAATTATTAAACTCTTACAGTGAATTAAATGTATCTTTATTCAGGGTGGGCAAGCTATTCAACTTGTTGGATCTCAAAGGCCGAGACTTAATCATATGACCCGGCAAGTACAACCGAATCAAGTTAAGTCTACTGTTTTGCCAAATCAACTGGTAACTGTGGCTAAAACAGTGACAGCAAGCCAGTTGATACTATCTGGTAACAAACAGGTGTTAACTCCTATAATGGGTAAGTTACTGTAAAAACTACGTTACAGCATTCGAGGTATCTCTAAAAATTAAAGACAAGGTTAGATAGGTCAAATACTTGTATAAACAATTTTGCTTTTCTTCCTATACAATCAACTTATCCTCCAAAGTTATGTCCACTTCTTACAAAACTTAAATTTCCACTTAAAACATTCTGTACAATCAACTTAGAATAGTAATTGACATATATTATTTCATCTCACATTTTCTATCTTTACATACCAATCTTTCCGTGAAATATTTCTATTATATTGAAGAGACGTCAAAACGAACATTGGCTTTGATGTACTGAAATATGTAAAAAATAATGTTTTACAGCAGCAACGAAACCAGTGCTTATGGCGTCTCAGACGACACCTTCTTCCCAAGTAGTACCTGCAAATAAACAAACTTTACTGACAAAATCCTTGCATGCTAGAGCTTCTACAGGACAATGCAGTCAACAAACTCAGAGTCTTGGTGTAGCGACATTATCGCAACAACAAGTATGTACTACGTACACACACGTATATTAACACGTTCGCTGCATTTATCTACCGCCAATTTACCATCCGTCTACGGCCGTTTTATTTCGCCCGTATGTTATTTTTGGCACTACACTTATCAAACAATGTCAGAAACATGACAAGAATGATAACAAAAACAGTAAAAGATCACTTTTTTTTACCTTACACTTCTCTCCCGAGTTAATAAATAGTAATCTTTTACTATAATTTGATCCAGCTACCTGGGAAGGTCAGCAATTTTATATACGCAGCGAACGTGTTACCATATAATTATTATTTTCCGCATTGTCTGGATTATGAACAATTAATTTCTCCGAATAATACTTTATATTGTTCGTTTCATAGTTACAGAGAACTCTTGTGAAACCTGTACAGCTCCAGCAATTACAATGTTTAGCCGCGCAACACAAAGTAGGTGTTGCAACTGGCACTGCGCAAAATAGAACACAAATTGAGCCTCAAAGAAACTCCACATCTGGCCCCGGGGAGGACTCTGCCTGAACATGTTCAAATAATAAATTTTGTTTCACATTACATTGGAATAATTGGAGCCTGCCTAGAAGGAATGTAATGAGGTGTTTCGTGTATATTAGGTTAATGTGACGATTTGAAGTTTTAATTATGCATGCAATTATAATTGTAAATTATGAGATTTTTATTCAATGAACGATTAATGTTTATCAGCAACGACATATTTTATAAAATCAAGCATAGGTACATACTTTGTGCGCACGTGCAATAAATTATTTCTACAAAAAAAAAAAACGAAAGAAAAAAAGGAACATTTGCCTCGAAATATTACTTTGAGGACGGTTTCAATTATTGTATATATAACTTATACATACGATTTGTTTTATATTAAAAAATGTAATAAATGTTCCATTTTTTTTATTCATCTTTACCCTTTTCATATCGTTACTGTGTTTGATCAGTAGTGGCAGTATTACCGAGTTTTCAACGCTAGATATACACTCTATAAATAATAAATGTTACTAAATTAATAGTTACTAGTATTAAATTTAATTCTCAATATTTTTATTAGCTTAAAATATTCCATGTTTTAATACATAGATTATTTAAGTAGCTACTTTCAGTAGTTTTTACAATTACAAATACTGAAACAGCTTCCAAGATAACGCCCATGGTTCACAATAAATATAGAATGTTATTCATAGTTCTGAAAGTTTCAGTAAAATTTAATTTACAAGTGAATAACATTCTACAATATCGAGAATGGAAAATATTTAAAAAAAATAGATAAATAAATTAAGATATTAAAAATCTATCGTCCAAATTAAAAAATTCAGCGTTAAAATTATATATAATTATATACATTCCTCAATCCTATAAAATATTGTTTATACATTTACAAGAGTTATCGAAAACATATTTTACCTAGATGAAACATAAAAAATAACAATAACATATGACACATAGTGTCGCATTTGTAGAATTTCAATATGTAACATACTTTGTTTACATTTCTTCTAAATCAATATATCCATCATATAATAGGCACATTAAAGTAGCCTTTCAATATAGTGTTTGTAGTGTATTATTAATTTCTTTCGTACATTTGCTTAAAAAAATAATTTAGTAGAAAATTATATACACAAATTGTGCTTTATAATAGTTATCGCTAAAAACCTTTTATCATACAATAGTAGTCCTCTATATTTCTAATTCGTAAAGGATGACTCATTCTTTAATCATATTAAATTCATCACTAGGAAATATTAAGAGCCACCCTTAACGTCGATCATGTCAATAATAAAAAATATAAAAACTTTGTATGTTAATTGGCATTCAGTTCCAGCTGTATGCGATCACAAATTTTCTTTTTTCTTATTCTAATTTAAATAACTACGTTTATCGTTTCCTTGAGTATTTATCACAAAATGTAATTGTACGAACAGTTTGATAACGATCCATTCATATATGTATAACAGTACTTACATAGCATAGATAATTCTTAAAAAAGTTGAAAACAATAACTTGTTCTACAGAAGATATGTTGTATCCTTAAATGCACGTTGCTCCATATATTAATCCTTAAATAGTAAGTCAATGTGAAGTTAGACCAGAGACAAATTTCCATATTACATTATTTACATTGCCTTTACAATCAGTCTATTTTTTTTTTTGGAGATCTACCAACACTTGCCTTGCAAGTATTTAATAACAATTTAAACTTTCTCTAACACAACGTATTAATAATAAAATACTCTGTGTATGCATTGCTGAAGACACCTTAATGTCACATTGGTGCATGTGGCCTTATATTTATCAGCGCACAACACAGTTCATAAATTATTTTCTATTACACAATTGTGCCTATTCCCTTTGATCTCTCCAAATTACTAGTTCTCAAGAGTTTATAATAAAATATCAACGTTGAATATCAGTAATAAATCTTACTACAACGTGATATCATTGACTATGAAAATATGCAAATACTTTCTAACGTTAGAAAAGATAAGTCTATGACACATACATATGTACATTCTTCATCTGAATAATCGTGGAAAGAATTATTTATCTTATACACTCAACGATGGTTGATCCACTTCTGGCCGGCTATCTGGAGGACTGGATATTTGTATTGCTTGTAAATCTCTACACACTGCCCATTCGCTCTCCGGATCGGACTGATAAATTCTCCATACTCTGTTGATTTCCATCGGTATACAGAGACTCGGTAACAACTAAAAGAAAATAAAAAATGTTCACAATACACTTCACGATGCAGCACACATCGACTATACTAGCATGATTAATCGTTCTAATAAGTTACCATCATTAAATGTATGTTGAGATAACCACGTGGGTTCATCCCACTCATCAAACTGTAATTTTTTATTGTTTTCAACTTCTTCTATAGATAACATTGCATGCGATTCCGATTCCGTAACATCAAATATCTCTGTTACTTGTACTTTATTATTATCGTCCATATAATAATACGCCATAACAGCTTCTTGATCCGAAGTTACCTATAAATTTTTATAATGTATATCTAATAATCTGAATTTATCAGGCTGTAATATCAGAAGTAAGTGGTAATTCTTATTGCATACCTGTAGAATATTTTCAAAAGTATCGTCAACCGTTGTAAGGTCGGACATATTTATAACACACTTCGATTTATTACTGTGATCATTCCATGGTTGCCTAGAATGCAGAAAAAATAAATAAAAATATTTGATAATTTAAAAAATATATATAGCTATCAAAACCTGTAAGCTTACATTTCATTGTACTGTAAAGTCAAGTTCAGATTCTTTTGATTTTTGTACACATTGTCAGTTTCATCTAGTACTTCCATTTTGTATATATCTGAAGCATTTTAAAAGTTGAGTTATATAAGTACATAACGTTGATTTTGATTATTATGATATATTATATAAACAATACTGCACATACTCGATCCATATTCTGTGAAAGCTAAGTGACACTTAATAGTCTGTGGCACTCGTTGATAATACACATTGATTTTAGGGAATAAAATATTTAACTGATCCAAGAAAAACGTTCTTAATTCTAACAAATTTCTTCGTAATTTGGGAACATTTAAAACGAACCTGAAAGTAATACACAATCGTCTTAAGATTTTGTTTGTGGTAGAGAGGTGAACCAAAAAAAATTATACATGCAAAGAATTGTAGCCTCTTATATTAGATATAAACGATCATGTACACAATTATGAAAACAAGTATATAAATACACGAGTTTAAGTACTGTAAAAGGTTAGTATAATGTAAAAAAAATATGTTACTTTGCTGGTACGCTTCTGTATAATTCTAAAGACATATGTATATAATTGAACTTTATTAGTATTTAAACTCAAATATAAACGGATTACAACGGTTCTTCTTTAAGTGTTCTTATATGTATATGAATACTATGCAATATATGTAAACATTGCAGTTTTCTTTTTTCAATTGCGAACTTAAAATGAAGTATTTTTTATACAATAAAGCAATAAGTGCAAGGTTTGTGCTTACCAAGAGGGTGTCTTATGGTTAGAACAAGAAATCGTCTGCAGAGGTCTATGCAGAATATTTCCAACTACTTTGTATTCCAAGGTGCGACTATCTACCTCGTTACCAATCAAACTATGATCACATGCATAACGTTAAATACATTATGTTATTATAATATTATATAAATATATATGTTATTGTCAGAAGTCTGTACCCATGCTACAATTTAATTCTGCCCAAGATAAGAATACAACGATTAATTGAAAATAATACACATGCTGTTAGTATTTAATATGTACACATCAGTGAAATACTGTAATTATATTACTACCTTAACTAAATGCAACTCTAAGCAAGCAATAATACATGCATATTAGTTTATGTAAGAATTAAATGTATATAACATAGATATACCAAAAATACATTAGAAATGTCGAAAAACGAGATAAGTAAATTTAAAAATGCTTACTTTGTAAAAGTTGCATACACTACATCTGCAGGCAACGTGTACGGTAAACTAAGTAACGATAGGAGTTTTACACTTCGATGTTTGAATAACCAGTTAATAAGGCCTTTATTAGCAGAATCGATTGCATCTTGGAATATAGTCATAACGGTTTCAGGTAACTTAGACACCAATGCTTCCTGCAACACATGCTTGTGAAATTAGTTATTTCGCTCGGATTGTGATTATCTAGCGCTTAAAATTTAATGCTTACTAAACAACAAAATATCTATATACCTGTCTGTGCATTTTACATTCCATACATTCAGGATCATATTCCATGTTATCATCGAGAGTCTCAGAGACAACAAATGTGGATTGCACTGCCAGACATCTAGTACAATTAAGTAAATTATTACGATGCAAAAATCTTAATGCATCGTCAAATCCTTGTTTGCACATATTTGAGAGTATCTATAAAATACCAAATTCATATTAATGTTAAAGTTTAGGCTACTTACGCGTAATATATTTACGAATGAAATAAGAACAGTTACCTCGGGATTAGGTGGAAAAAGTATTCTTGCAAATCTATATATGTTTTGTCTCGAAAGTTCTATACTAGTATTTGCAAAATTCACCTGAAAATTACAAATATTAATTCTTTTTTACAATTTCTTCATTTTTAAGAATCAATTAAATATCAATCAATAAAAAGTAAATAAAAGTTACGAATTAATTAGCTCAAATGTCAGAATTACATTAAGGAAAAAATTAATTTTATTCGATTGAATAAATTACCTACATGAAAGAGTTGGGAAGACACATCTCTAGGACAGATATCACTTTCACCACAGAAAGGACTAACTGTAATTGTATTTTCATCGAGTGTAGGGAGATTGTCGCTAAAACCGCCATCCATGTATCTCACTCCATGAAATCGTGGTGGTAGAAGACCAGAAAAGAATGGAATAAATGCACTTGCTAATAGTGCCTGTAAGCAAATAAAACTTCATTACACAAGTGTAATAATAAGTTTCAAATTTTTTTTCACGCATAGTCATTTGTAACAGAATACATGATTTTTTTTAGATAGGAGACTCAAACCTGCAGTTTTTATCTTAACTTATTATATTGATAAAATTCAATATCTTTTACAAACATGATTAATTTTCAGGAACAGAGTTCAATCAAGTGTAGTCATTCAACTGAAATATCATAATTCGATTCAATGTCCATTATATGACATTAATTAAAAAAACAAAGAGAGAGTAAGAACAAAGTCTACGTATTAGAATTTCCCTGTTCGACTTCCAATGCCTGTATTTTCGTCATTGCGTTAATCACAAAGTTTTCGAGTAAAATAGTAATAGTATAAAATCTATTTATCATAAATAGATCTGTTTACTCTTCGCAACTATATTTAATTTTTGAAAAAAAAAAAAAAAAAACCAAAAGGAACGCGCGAAACGATGACGACAACAAACATACATGTAAATCTAGGTCATTCACTTGCCTGCAATAAGTCTTCCCTAGAAGAGAATTGTGAAACGATTACATTTTTTCCGTCGTATACTCTTGTCAAGGAGATATGGAGTTTACCGCTTACTCGAATGTGAGCGTCGTTGGGAAGGAACTGCAATAAAGATTAATAATTCGATCGTGGATCAAAAACGCCAATTATGAAAATCGACTTCATTTGATTTAATACATTCAGAACAACGTGATCCACTGACCAAGCATCTAGTCAGAAAACTTTGTACATATACTACATAGAAGAGATATATATAGTATGGTCGCAAAATGAATTACTTTATCTTCAAATACTCATATTTAGGACATAAAAAAACTGATAGAAAATCTGGTCTTAAATCTCACTTAAGACTGTACAAATTAAGTATCTGAATTCTCTATCCATTCAATGAAGGCCTAGAATCAAATCATGTATACGGAGTTTCATAACATATGAAACACATTTCAACGATTATCGAAAAATGCAAAAACAGGCATAAAACTATAGTACATTGTTTCTAATGTTTCCATCGACCACATGTATAGACAACTGACATCCGGGTGGATTATCATAAACCTGACGTCATGACTTAAAACGTGGGTCAATGTATTGACTTTTTACTTCTTGTATTATTTATTTATTCCGCTTATTTCGTCCTGAATGTATTAACGCAAAGTTTAATGACATCATGACACGCTATTACTAATACATACCTTTTGCAAGCTTTCTAATAATATTTCCTGTACATTGAAAGAGGGACTGAACGGGCCAAGAGTACTTTGTCGTGCTTCGCGTGCAACACGTAATACATTACTCGTAATCTCCCCTGCAATAATATACATTCATGTAACTGTAAGAAAAATAATCGAGTGTTGTTGAAAATAATCAATCGAGCAAAGATAATTTATTGCAGGGATTCGGATGCATTTCAAAATTTTAATCAAACGGCAATTTAAAGAAGAAAAAACATGCCGCTATTCTGAATCGAACCAGATACGGTAATCTCAATTTTCAAATCTTACGTAAAAGGAAAGCAAAAAAGGAAATAATTTTTTGCCATTATCTTATCGACTACAAATTAAAGTTTATCAGTACACACGATACCTACACGCGCTGCTACACACGGAAATTCTTTGACGGTGTAATCGTTTCTAAGCCAGTGTATTTGTAAATTTATTTCGAACAGTACGGTGTCGAAAAAAAAACAAAGATACGAATCTTATACGGATTACAACGAGAGTGATGTTGGAATTTCGCAAAGATAAACTATTTAGCGGAAGTGGCATGGACGCTGTAAGGTCATTTTATCTGTTTAAATAAATCTCGTATTTCATTTCACAGTGGACAGGACATGCATAATGAGGCAAGAATATGATATCGTGTTGTGATATTTTGTTGTGAAATTTCGACATAAAGTGTGTTTACATTTTACACAATTCTTCCGTGTAGTGTGAAGTGTGAAAGTGGGGGAGAGAGAGAAAGACAGAGAGAAGAAGAGCATACAACTTGCAATGCATTTGCTCTCTCTCTCTCTCTCTCTCTCTCTCTCTCTCTCTCTCTATCCCACAAACATAAACATGTTTACTGGCTTTAGCAATAAAAAAATAAACTGGAATATCTCGAATAGAAAGTTATTATTTTTAAATTTCAATTTTAATTGGTTCTATCAAGTTCATTATTATTATATCTGATAAAAAGAATTGGCCAATATTTAAGTACATATGTACTATCTTTATCTTTTATCACGTGAGTCAGTATTGCCTTTCTACAAAAACAAACATTCCTTTGTTTGATTTAGATACAACAGCTTCATCTATTGATGCTAATATACCAGAAGTGAATACAAAAGTTTACTTTGCGATCAAGGGACTCAAATCGTGACTTCTGAAATAGTTTACGTAAAACTGTCTACATTAAGATGTAAATAACTATTTGTTAAGGTTTCAATAATTTATCCGTTGGAAACTTTATTGTCCATTTCATTTCGATACACGTTATACATGAATCAAGGGGCTACTCACATTACAAAACGATATTTCAAATATTTAATAGAATACAAATTAAAAATAAGTCCGTAACGTCTTCTAGTTTTGTAGGTGAGGAAAATATTTTTCACTAGAATATGATTTATCTAGAATATAAGGTTAAGAAATAACGGATTTCAATATCCGTACTTTATCACTTTACTAGATTGCCACCTGCACTTCATCATCACACCACACACACATCTACATGTGAAGATATTGCTTAGACTTTAACCACCACATCGATAAGTAGCATCAGATAATATGACAGTTTAATAATCCAGATAAACGTATTGTTACACATAATTTGATTCAAACTATATACTACTTTCATAGTTCTATTAAGTAAAATAGAACGGAAACGAAATTTCGAAAGTATGAAAAGTGATTGAAAAAAGGAAAATATTTTTCAAGATATAAAAAAAATTTCTCAACAATGTACTACGTTATGCTACTGATACTTTCTTATATGTATTACCCATTCCATGTCTAAATAAGTGCAGGCACGAAGAACACATTCGAGACTCTCAGGAATGGCTGATTTTAACGGAAAAGATACAGGAAAGCGCGCCCTACTCTATTAATCTCTTTGAAACATATACATACACCTTATAAGCAGCCATAACAGCTTGGATAAACCGTCTATTTTAAGAAAGACCAAATTTAAAAAAAGACTTGATCCCTCTAGTCTTAATTGCTCTTGTATTTTAAGAAGTTTTAAAGAATCCGGATAACGCGACACAGCTTAATGTAAACTGAACGATATTTTCGGAATATGTATCAGGAAGAAGCTTAACAACATTAAATTCCATATTCCAGTCGAACCTAAAATATTCCTTACTTTTCGACCGTTCAAACTGTCCCACCGAATGGAAGAAAACCAAAAACTGCATTCCCCATTTATCAATGGGAAGAATACAAACGTTCCATAGAAAAATTCCATACCTGAGTGAATGCTTTCAACGATAATTGACCTGCCATAAACCCCTGGATACTTTAAAAGCATTTCCCAAGTGAATGGTCCGTTACTTTGAACACAGGGACCAATAGTCCGTTATCGTGATGAATTTTTCGATATATTATAAACCGTTAAATGGAATATTTAAAAAATTTCAAAGAATTTTGAATAGAATGAAGAATGAGTTACTTTAAAAACCAATGTCTAATACAAAGTCTATGCTTTGAAAATAATTATGGCGTTCTTATCACGAGATGTCGTTTGACTCATAATCGTTACAAATTTTAACAGCTAATATTTTGAATACTATTTAATAAATTTTTTATCGTCTGGTAAGTTGTAGAATTGGTAGTCTAACGTGGCTATCAAACTATATTAACTAAATAAACTGAAAAATTAAATCAAATAAACTGAAAGAGAACTGAAGAATTTAAAATCATAGGAAACGATATAATATATGTAGGTTACACCGAGAACAAGTTATTCCCAATATGGTCAGGTCTGCCGCACGAGAAACTCTTCTAACTTGGACTGTTTTAATTTATTTGCAGTGTGTTATTTTCCTTCCAGTTATAGGAAACATTCAACGTGCGTGCTCATGGCACGACATACTTCTTTAGTATACATTACGGACGATTAATCGCAAGTCATGTATACAGTCTTTTTTAAGGTTGAACGTTCATGAACGTGCAGTGCAGCTTATTGCATGATGAATCCAGCTCCGTTCTGGAATATGTTGTTCCAAACAAATATCCGTGGAATTATGAAAACGTATGCGTCATAGATTATGTAAGTGATTACGGATGCTGCTGCGTATAGATTGTTAGAAACATTATTTCGATCGCAGATATTTTTAAACGGACCGTATATCCAAATGTAGATAATGAATGACTATGTGGTGAAAACTGTTGACGCGCAATAGAACTCGACTGGTGGTCTCTCCTAGAATCATGTATCCGCTTGACATTTAACATTTAATTACTCCTTATTGAAAACGTCAAACATTTCGTATCGAACACAAAATTGAGACGCAGCTGGTCACTGAGAGAACTCAAGAGTGATCGAATTTTTCAAACATACTGAATAGATTTCTCACAAATATTTCGAAACCATTACGCCTATTACAACAAAGGCATCGATAAGATTGAATTTGATTGCTTCATGCCACGTGCTTGAATCATTGTTTAAAGTAAAGCACAAAAATAGAAATTGTTGTTTTTGTGCAATCTTTCGGATTATTATTTTCGTATAGGAAGAAACATTGTGAATAAAAATTACTTATGCAACTTTGATCGTGACGACATAAAATCGACGTTTAAACACGTGCATGCACGTTGCAATGCACGTTCCAGTGAATGACGGTTTTCAGTTCGCGCAAAACATGTTTACGTGCTTTCAATTCTGTGAAAGCATTTTTTTTAATGTCCTTTAAAAAAAGTTAATAAAGACGGATTAATAAAAAGTAAAGACAAATAAAAGTAAAGGACAAAGTAGAATAATTATTGGAGTGACCAATTCATTCGCTCCTTACTGCAGAAATATTTATAGCATATATGCGGACATTAAATATTTCTTAATACCAATAAAAATGTTTATAAATAACTATCTTTTTGTTCCATTCTTATTTTGAATAAATTAATCAATGAGAAGGTGAATTTGTTAAAACATTCAGTTTAGTCATAAAATATATTTTAACGTAATTTGCTTTATAAATACAACTTAACAGTTGCTTTTATAGAATCAATAAGAAAAAACTACATACAACAGTTAAGATAATTTATTACTGAAACGATGGACATTTCTCTTATACTCAAATCGATAAACTGTTATCTACATAAAAAATTGTATGTAGTGCGTAGTAGCTTGTGCCAGTATGACTATTGTAATTGTCCGTATTGTGTTATATATTTGGTACCAGTCTTACTCATAAAGAAAAACATTTGATAAGTGTTCTTGCTACTACTTCCAATTTGCTGATTCTAAGCTTGACCTACTTATGAGATTTATCCAATGGATGACCAACTTTACTGAACTTCTATGAATAATTTTGAAGTTTCAAGATAATAGTTTCATTATATTACAGCAATGAACCATACTCTAATGAACTTGATTCTTTTGTACATAATCTATTATACACTATTCTACATTATATGTTTTCATTAGATGTATCAGTTCATGTTATTCACCATTGTGTAATAATGTAGTTTATACATAAAATATCTTTTCATTTCTTGTTTGATAAAAATGGCATAGGTTATTAGTCAATAACAATGAACGTCATTTAACTCTGTGCTAGTGTTTCATTTTTCTTATGAATAAGTACTAAATTTATTAGGAAAACAAAGAATCACCAACTAATGCAACAATCAGTTTTACATTCTATTCTATGGTGGTCATTCTATGATTACCAATGCTCAGTCAATTATACACGAATGTGTACTTAAGTAATTTGATGCTTAAATGACAACATTATAAATTTTGATTCGATTATAAATCTCCCAGTGTTAATAAAACCTGTATGAGGATGTTAACATGACAATATGACAGTATGACATTGTGTTGGCACTGACTCGACGCTAAATCTAAATACCATCACGTAACCGATACCGAAAGGGAACAACCGAAGATATTTACGGTTTAATAGCAACAGCGAAATCATCGGTGTACCGAAGACAATTTGTTCAACATGCACGGAATGGGTATACAAAAGGCAAGATGCGAAATATCGCGACTCGTAAATCCATGCAACATTGAAAAAAACTAATTATTAAAGATACTATTATATCTCGTTAGATATATAAACAAAGGAGTTCACTCACCGAGGGGTAAATCACAAAGGAGGCAACAAGCAGCGATAGCACCAGCCGATGCACCACTAATCTTATCCAAGAGCAAGTGTGGAGCGTATTTCTTAAAGCACACCGCCACACCGACGTGGTAAATACCAAGGAAGCCACATCCAGCGAACGATAAATTCATTTCGGAATCCTCTTGTCCGCGCTGTGTGTTCGTTTACCGTTTCTTTGTTTATACAGGTCGTTGAGGAATAATTGTTACAATAGATTCACAGGAAAAACATGAAAGAAAATAATTACTCTTTCTACGGCACTATAAACGTAACACTCGTAGGGAAAAGCGCTCCCGACGATGTACTTGCCCCGACGTCCGAGTTCAAACTATCGGTAGTCCTTCGCGGGCAACAACAGCCTTCCGAAACTCTCGACACTAATCTTGAGTCTGATTGAAAAAAATACATGTTACAAACAGCCAGCGAGATAATACACGTTCGATGACGTGCGGTTTGTAAATACTTACTGCATCGTCGATTGGCTCGAGCAGATGGTGTGGTGATATTGCCCCGCCCACTTCGGTGTTCTTAAACTCATTCGTGTAAACTCTCACAGGTACATTATTAGGTACACGTGTTTCTATTCCGATAAAGAGAATAGGTCGATGAATAGTTCGCATTCCGAAATATTTCATAGGAATGTAATTTCATTTTATCTAATAGATATTGGTAAAGAATGAAAAAAGGTATGGAAGTTGACATTAATTTGAATGTAAATATTTCATATTATTGGTATTTTTTTCTAAGAACTTTGATCTCAACTTGGTTTATTAATGTGTACTGTTTTTACTAAATATCGACAATTTCTCTGTTCTTATATATAAACTTACATCTAATTGTCTCATATTTTATACACACAGCTTTCCACAATCTTCTTTTCATATTCATAGAACACATATTTTCTTTGTAATTAAACAAATCACAGAATACTTTAGTTAACGTGAATCTGTACACTTATAATTAAATACGCGCCAGTCAGCTTATGCAACTTTTAACAGCCAATAGGAAGTCAAATTTCAATTAAATGGTTGCAACCGTTGCAACCTTTACTGCAAGCTACACGAGTTGGTTTATATGTTTAAAACTCACAGCAAATGATACCTTTATACTTATTCAATTTTTGTTTAGTATTTTTAACAAATTTGTGTTTCTATAATTAGCTGCGTTTAACAAATATTATATGCATAGAATTTATTATTAATATTTTATAAACTTCAGAGAGTAAAGAACGTATAAGCATCTTGTGAAAACAGTTCAGACTATTGGTCGATGATTCAAAACATATTTAGGATTGGTCATTTTTGTAAATGACGGTTACGGTGCGGTAGTCTGTTTGAAATAATTTATAATAATTCAAATAAAGTTATTTTATTATGGATTATTGATTCAACAAACGTCGTCTTTGTAGCATGCATACTTCATGAATTTCTAATTTGAAGAACTAAATGTAACCTTGATTACAGTCTTTACTGATCTTTACTTGATAGTATATAGTATATACACTATATATTATACTTTTCATTGTTTTGAAAACATATTTTATAAAACATTTAACGATTGTTATTTTATCTAATTTTATAAACGGTAGTTTATTAAAACGTTTTTAAAACCAGTTATGATCGGTACGTAATGAAATTGTTTCTTAAATAGATTTTTGGATAAATCATGTACTTAATATGTAAGTAGAAAATGTGAATAATACGCGTGAGGTTCTGTAAAACATTTAAAATATTGTGTAAACTTAAAATACTATGTTCAAGGCGCGCAATCTTACAACACGTATATCTACCTGACACATAACCAATAAATGTTTCTGCGTATTGAAACATAATTTAAAAAGAAAGCGAAGTCACAATGAGTGTAAACGATCAAATGTCACAAGCATCGCATGTGATTTGTGGCAATTCCAATGTCTCGAACGAAACAGTTTTTCATGCTGTGTATGTACCTGAAGAAAATATTGACAATTCAACAGAGAACAATATAAGGGGTAAACATTTAATATATTTCAGTGTTCTTATGTAAATAAATTTTAATACTGTATGTCTCTATGTTATAGAAAACAGTCGAATTTACACAGATAAAACAGAAGCATTGAAAGTAATTAGGGAGTACAAAACAGGCCGTTTGAAGTCATTTAAGAAACGTTCCGAAGCTGAAGAATATGCTAAGACCGGTTTTGAGAAAACACATTGCAATAATAATAGTTCAGTACCTGCAGCAGTACCTGTGGTAGAAGAGAAATCAAATAATTACAAAGCTCCTCGATCTCAGGAATTGGTCTGTTTTAGAAAATTAATTAAAGATGGGGATTTATATTCTGTAAAGTGTACTGTATGGGCAAATCCACGATATTTAATTGGTAGTGGAGATACACCTGCAATTTTACAAGTAATATATTATAATTAGTATCACTTTTAAATGTTTAATATTTATAAATATGCTGTAAGAAGCTTTCTTTTGTTTATTATAGGAAGGTTGTCGTTATAATGCATTACATATTGCAGTCAGAGCAGATAGATCAGATATGTGTGAGTTAATATTAAACACTGTTGGAAACACAGAATTTATAAAGTTACTTTATGGTGATGAGTGCAAGAGTTATGTGGATCGAGCACAGATTATGTTAGACTTGTATTTAAACACACCAGACAAAGGACTGAATGAAACACCATTACACTTTGCAGTTAAATTTGGTTTAAAAAATGTAGTGAGAGTTCTTGTTTCATATCCATGTTGCATAAAAACATTACCAAACAAGTATAAACAACCACCAATAGATGTACGTCATAAATTATTCAAAGACTTTGTTCAGAAAATACATATAAAAATTAGTATCTTCTGTTTGCAATTTGCTTTGTATTCTTTTTCTATTTTTGTAGTAATGTTCATTCACTTTGTACAGAAGTTTTATGCAACTATATATTTGTTAATATCACAGATAATATGTAGCAGAACATGTCAAGAAGATGAAGAGTTAAAGAAAGAGATACGCTTGTTACTGGAAGATCAGTATTATGTACCTGTATTAAGATCAGATGATAGCACATTACAACCTGTTATTGGAGAACCTTTTTCTCCAACTAGTCCACTGGTATGTGAATGTATTGAATCCGTATTTTATGAAATTTTGTAAACAATATATTTTACAGAGTATAAAGACCGATCCGATAAGCCCGCGTTTAGAAGTACGTGCATTTGCCGGACCAATGACAAAATCATTAGCGGTGGAATTTAGAAAAAAATGGAAAACGCCTCCACGTCTCCGTATGACTCCAATTAGAAAAGTTACAGAAAGTGAATGTAATTTAGATAGCTCCGTTAACAATTTATCATTAAGACTACAAGATACAGAGAAGGGACTTGAACGAGTAGGAAGGTATATATTTTCTTAACACTAAAAATTTAAAGTATTGTTCTTGACTCGAATAAAAATTGAACTTCAGTATTTTATTTTCAGAAATTTAGCAGAAGAATATCAGGTGTCATGGAAAGAATATTGGCCATTTTTGAACGATTTTGCAGATTTTCGCACCACAGAAGGTTTAATGAAACTTGAAAAATATTTGGAATATAAATTTCATGAACAATTACTACAATATAATCAGGTATTATCAACTTGATTAAATTTTTAATCTGTATCTTCATACTTTTCGCTTCTTCGCAGAATTATAACGGAGAAAATTCAGAGAAGCAGATTGAACCTGCTGATGAAATAGATTACTTATGTAACAAGTTGCAATCGTGTTCGTTATTTAATACAGATAATCAAGATAATGATGTGGGTAGGTATTGAAAATATTAATGCAAATTTTCTGGTGTGTTACAGCGTTTAGATAGGAGTATCTACAAATAATACAATCCTATCTTTTTTTCCAGACGAATTAGAATTCTATACACCGCCATCATCGCCAAAATTACTAGTTGACAGTTCTGACGATGAAATGCAAATTGCAGACGAAGGTCCTGTAACATTTCTCGAAGGGTAAAGTATACAAAAACATTATTTTGTAATAAAATGAATGGGTTCATTAGAATACATTATACCAGTAATACATTTATATTTTTTATTTTTATTTAATGTTTCATAGATCTGCACTAACTAAATTGGATTATGCTGTGTATTATGCACTACCACCATCAATTAAATCTGTTACATATCCAAATATTTATCGTTGGCAACATGACATGCAGCTTGTTATGAATCGTGATTTACAGCGGTAATAATTTTGAATGCACTATAAGTAGTTCCACCTTTTTTTTACAACAATATAACAAATATTATGTTAATAACAATTTTATGTATTATTATTTTCAGAACTAACAATGCAAGGCTACCCAGAAGAAAATTGATTTTGACTCCCTAGATATGTTAAATATCCAGGTATTGAACAATGTAAAAAAATAAAACTGTATAAATTTTTTTATATTACGCACAATAATTCATATAAGTAGTATTAGTATACATGGAAAACTTATTTAAGCATACTAAAAATGATATATTTTCAGAAAATTTTATATATGTGATTAAAATAATCTATGAAACCTTCATACATTGCTTTATCAATTACCACTTACATTTGAATATATGCATGTAAGGCGGCTGAATCTATTACATTTACTTATTGTTTTATTTTCAACAGATTAATAATTATATTACATATTTTTTTAATTTAGTATATATGCAGATACTTGTTATTAATAAACATTATTCACAGTAATATTAAATTTTTGTGTAACTGATCATTTACGATATTTCTTTCCAATGATATCGTAACCTGCGTACACTGTTCTTTCGGTTTAATACGTTTGATATTTTGTATATCTATCATTCATCTCCGGTTATTAATCTGATCAAAGAGTGACCGGGGCTGGTGGAGTTTGTTTCAGTTGTAAAATGATTGAACGCATCCGGGAAACATCTTTTGAAGTACGCGAAGATTTAGGATTAAAATCGCACAGCTTCGCGATGCGTTCCCATTCTGTTCCTGGCTCAACTTCATCAGCTTCTGCAACGAACTGTTTCTCCGCGTTCCTAATAATAAAAGTATTGTATTAAATACGTTGCAGACACGTACAAAACTTAGACTATTTGATATTTGTAAATTGTATGCATTAATGTACTTGCAGTATATGCAGTTAACACATCTACTTTTTGTTTTCTTACATATAACGTGTGCAAAGTGTACAAAATATAGATATTTTTGAAGTAAGGATTTCTATTCATATAATAAAATTAATACAAATACTTCTTCTTTATATAGATTAAGTATGAATTTATAACAAAAATAAAAATAAATACATGAAAGTGAATAATTAATAGTAATAAAGTAGCATTTAATTCATGTAAGAAACACAGTGATCGATAATTAATCTTTTACATATAATAACATATATGACTTCAATAATAAGCAGTTTATATTTATGTCCTTAAAATATTTTGAAAAATTAAAAACATATGCCTAACCCAGTCCTGACACATGATATGATTATAGACATTGAAATTTCAAGTATAATTGCATCAAGCGTAAAATACATCTATAAGTCACAATTACAAAGCAGCGGTCGACACGTATGAAATTGTCTAATGTTTCCGATAATCAACAGCATATGGCGTCGTGAATTGTATAAGCAAGCTATATAGTACACAGCGTTGCAATGCAATTATACATGCAAAAAAATGTAGTATAACTTACTTGGCTGATTCCCTAAGAAGCAGAATGAAAATAATATAGTTGCATGTAATATATGTCTTAAAATAATTCAATAAAGTATTGTAATCTTCGCGGAATAAAAACTTTTAATTGCACCTACAGATGCGCGATTAAAAGTTATTTGTATATTAGTAAAAAAAAAATATGCCGCGAATATTGCACAAAATGAAATTTAAGTTAAATGACAACAGTAAATATTACCTGTTTGTAGTTTTTGTTTTACTAATAGCTTCTGCATGATGTTTATACCATTCTTCTAATTCTTTCCTTGCAGCTTCCCTCCATTCTTCTTTCTTTTTTTCTTCTTCTGCATCTGAACACATATGAATGGAGTTTGGTATGATAGTTAAAAGGTGCTTCTCAATTGTGTTATCACTGGTGGTGATATTACAGAAGTAAATAATACCTTTTTCCTCTAGTCTGGTTTTCTGTTCTTCTCTCCATTTCCGTATCTTTTCAGGTTCCTCTTTTACAGGTGGAGATTTAGGTGCAGTTTCTAAATAAATATTCTTTTATGATCTATGATCTTTGTTCCATAAAATGATTTCTTAAAAGTAAAGTATAACACAGTTTACCTGTTGCTGATGGGGGTTGTATTTCATTAGTTTGTCCAACTGCATCTATTATCTCAAAACTACCTTCTGCATCGCCACCAGGGCCAACTTTTAAATTTCCAAAATTTTCGGGTAAGTTATCTACTACAGAGTAAATAATAAACACATAATCATTATTCCATGCACTATAATGGATTGCATCTATTATATAAAAATTAAATAGAACTATAATACTACAATGATTATCTATAATTTGTGTAAAAAATATAATAATGGATATAAATTTTAATAAAGGCTGTAGTAATTCATATACATTACCATTTGCATTTGTTCCTGTGGTAGTAGACATAGAAACAGGTGGAATTTCATCTTCAAGTCCAGCCAATTGATCCTGTTCTCTTGCAACAAATTCTGCCACAGGATCCACTTCTGGTTCAATGACAAAGTTGTCACCAAATGCATCCATATTGTCTAATAAAAATATACAATGGATTAATATTTCAAACATAGAGAATAGGTTTCAATATTATATTTTTGTCTAAAGAAATACATTAATATATTGACTGCCATGATGATTACCAGATGATACCAATGCCATTAAATTACACAATGAAACTTATAATTTCTAAACAGTAACATATACTGACATTTTTGTATAATTTGTAATAAAATGGTCTAAATAATGAATATACTTTAGTTTTTGTTCTTAGAATTTATAATCAGAATAACAAAAACTTAAACAAATGTATTTCATCAAACTACTGTCACAAAAGTAAAAGTTTGGACAGCCAACACATCAAATATCTTCATATGTATATACTGACATTTCCCAAACATACCTATATGTCCAGAATTCCTGAAAGAATTATTATATACAATTCTATAAATATTTTCTCAGTAATTAACTGTAAAAGTAAACAAGTGTATTGTAGCAGTATTATTTTCTGCAAAATCAAATTATGACAGTACACGTTTAAATAGTGTTTTTACATTTTATACTAATATAGTAACAATACCTCAAGTACTGTTACTTTGTAAAATTCTTAATAGGTTAAACTATGATGAAATAAGTATCTCTAATTCAACACTTAACAGTGTTACTGAAGGTAACCTAAAAGCATGCATATATCCTTAAGAAGGTTTATACGTATAGGATATCGATAATATTTGAGAAAAAGAGGCCGAAATAAGAAATTTTTATTTACTTGAAATTGATTTTCTAGAATGTCAAGTGAAACATTGTACCTTTCTAATATTCTGGAATGTGTGATTAATATCTTGGGAAACACCCCCAACTGTCCTTTCCTTAGAATCAAACTAAATATCAACTGCAAATTGTCAACGTCAATACTAGTTTGATCTCACAACGCACACATGCGCACAATTAAATGTGGTAGTAAGCGATTGTCAGTACTACCAACTTTTTAAAATCGTTGTGAAGAGTCACTTATATTTTTCCGATTTGAATATTTTTTATGCGATAGAAAATTGGGTCATGATACATCCAAGTATATATTACTAACGATGACGATTACATGAATATTGTCAACATGTTTAGAAAAACTTGTTGGGAAAATGTAACTTCTTCTAAAAGACTTCATCTATTTTATTCAATATACTTCCTAATTAGAACAATGTTTTTATTATATAATAGAAGAAACTATGAGTTACTACTGAGTCACTATTTTAAGAAACTTAATTCTCACCAATATATTTATTTTTTAATAAAGTAAAATCACGCACTTTATAACACTATACAAAAATCTAGTTATTTGAGTCAATTATTCATTTATTATTTATTTGCCTCTTCAATTCTTGATACTATTGACTCAATTCATTAGATATCTTCTTCCGAATTTTTACGTTATATATTTAGCCGAAATATTATACAATTGATTATATTTTGTACCTTATACATATATTATTCTCAGTAGAAACTTAAAGTATATTTTTCTCATAACATAAACATTATATTTTATAGATCTGTCTATACTATCAAATATTAAGTACATTTCTATATATTAATATGTGACTATATATAGAGATCATGCATAAAATATTATGTTCTTCTCTATAAAGAATGTTTCAGTAATAATTAACAGAAATCAAAACCCATATATGCATATTTGTATATAAATCATAATATACGGTAATAAGCTTTGAACATAATTTATATAAGTTGTTTTAATCTGCATGGTCTATGTAATATTTGTAGACCACGTTACATTCAATTAGATGAGACTCTATTATCTCAATTTATAAAGACTGTAAAATTTTTATATGATACTTTGAGTATTGTAAATAAATAGCTATACAAATGATGCAATCATTTTGACATGTAGAAGTGTTTCCATCATAATAAGGTGTATTTTTAGTACAATGTTAATAATAAATACAGTTATTATTCTTACATTTCCTATTATTATGACAGATCACTGGCAACAAAATTTAGATATCATGTACGTAGAGCAAATGTTCTGTTAACAATCGTCTAAAAAATACGTATAAAAATACAATTCCTAAATAACAATTTAGAGCTTCACTCGTTAATATAATGATAGAGCTCTAAAAACAGTTATTAAAAGTTTATCTACAACCTATAATAAGTGTAGGTGGTAGTGAAATGTGTGGTGTAAAGTCAATAAGTTTGCCCTGGCAAAGCATAGTGACTGAACATGCTAATAGATAATAAACTCGTACATTTCATTTGTGAAACAATAGGTCAGTCTTGCCCCTAATCCCCTCCTTGTATTTTAAAACACGGGATTTATTGTGGGAGGTTCGTTATCTCCAAATATGTATAAATTTAAAGATTCTTCTATTTTGTTCTTATTGCCTGGTAAATACTAGGCATTATCTTCTTCATCTTCAGAGGTCAATGTTACGTGATCAATACGTCGTGGTAATAACAATGCTACATGCCCATATCTAGATAGAAATTCACATAGTTGAATCTCAGTTGAAATCTTATGACCTAAACGTACTAATCCTAAATGTTATATGCACAAACTTACTTGCTGCTTTTATATTTATCTTGGATTGCTTGCTGCTGAATGTTCAATGCATTGCAAAATGTTTTGTTCAAGCAGATAACACATTCTTTAAGATCCTTTAGATTGTATCCTGTTGCTAGTTCTAATTCATGCGGCCACATTTCCTCGAGTAGTGTATGCCGTGCAAGTGCTAATGCAGATGCAGCCAAATGACTAGGCACGAACTGCAGATAGGGGTCTCCTTCAAGCATTGACAATTCACACAGATACTGTAAAATTGTAGATGTAAATTAAAAAATATGATTATACATTGAATACTATAACAATTTACTGATACTAGAAGAGTCGTTCTCTCACCATTGCTAAAAATTTTATTTTTTCTGAAAGATTGTTACTAATACAGTAATCCATGAGGAATGTAAGTGGTGTGGGGGCAATCAAATCAAAAGATAGAACCCTCAAGATTAAATGTTCCATTCGTAGTACCTGCTTCTTTGTATAGGTGTCATCTGTGATATATACAAATTCTCCTACATCCGGTGGGTAAATTTCTTCATACTTCCTATAAAATTAATACAACAAATATAATAGATTATTTATTAGATTAGAGAAGTTTAAGATTATAAAACTGTCTGTAATTATTTATAAACTTACGCAGCAATGAACATGGCAGCTGTACCAACAAGTTGTAGTTTTGCTCTTACAACACTCATGTATGATAAGAAGCGGTCTATATAGGAAACAGCTAAGTAAAGTGTCTCAGTTTGTAATCGATATTCTTCGGCTACTTCAACAAGCCAGTCCACAAGTATCGATCTCATGGAGTATGTTATGTCGGGTTGCTTTTTCATGTATCCTGGTTTTGGTCTATGTTGTGTCTAGAATTTAAAAAATGATTCTATTACTAAAGCAGTATGTTAAAATCAATTAAATATTCATAGAAACATAGTATTTAGTATTTTATGGGCAAGTGAAATCCATTATAAACAACTGACAAGTATATACCTCTGCAACACGTAAATAATTATATATATCAGCTCTATATTCATCCACATCAAAAAAGTTCATTCTTATCTCCTTCATGGACTCCCTTCTTCTCTGAAGTTCTTTTTTAGAGGAGGACGAGTAAGGTACAGATTTTTCCAAGGACATTGGACTGTCACATGGAAAAATTGTTTCAGTTTGTTTCTTCTGATGTACATCTTGAACATTACCATTGCAAAACGTCGTCAGAGATGACACACTTATGGGATTCACTTCTAACCTTGGCTTTTTTTTATCAGACTTAACATCTTGTTTATCTTTCACCTCTTTCTTGTCCTTTGTGTCTCTTAGTGCAACAGAAGTTTCCTCCTCTAGTTTATCTTCATAAATTTTAAATAGAACTTCTTCTTTTTTCTCTTCATAAATTTTAAAAGGTTCAAATTGCATGGGTATAACTGCCTTAGTCTTCGGATACTTTTCATCTTTGTAAATTTCCTGCAAAAAAAGACAAGCAAAATAAATAACAGTATCAGATAAACATGACACGAATAATTCTACTTCCTCTTCTCTAATAAATTAGGAGAACGTTGAATTATTTCTGAAAATGTTTGTCGTATGCTTTATTAGAAAATATGCAAATTTATTAAAGAATAAAGGCGAACAATGCCGATTATTTAAGCGCAAAAAACGCGGGAGGAAAGTTGAAAAAAATGGTGCACGTACCGCTTTTGAATTACGATTACAATTATTGTGAATAACGCCCAGAACTGCACGTTTTGTTTGTTGCAGCGTTTGAGTTTGAAGGGGCACTGTAATATTTTCTTTGCTGCGGCGAATTTCTGCGATACGATTTTCTTGGTCCTCGTGTACTCGAATCGTGGCCATTATTTGTGTTTGAATTTTCTGCCAATGTTATATAAATATATATATATACGTGTATTGAATGTTTCTTCTTGCCGAGTTACTATTTCGTTTTTTTAGACACTTAACATGCCCTTTTCTAGTCACGGCGAAATCTATTTATCGTCCATACATGGCAGACAAAATTTCGAAGCTCCAAGCAACCCAACAAACTTCAGTTGCCGTTTGATTTCAAACAAACGTAACTTCAACAGCTGGCGATACGTTAGAAGCGTTACTCGAATAAACCAATGAGCGGAGCACGCTTTTCATAAACTGCGAGAACACCAATCAGATCAGTGACGTATGATTTGCGTTCTCAAATACACCCGTGATATGAGTGGCTGTTCACAGAACACGATATTATTTCATAATTAAAATACTGTTGCTTTAAAATAACGAAAACTTTAATGGTATATTATTTATTATTTTCATCTTCTGTTTACTAAGATTTACAATATTGTTGTTAATATATACTGACGACATCGTGTGTAAAGTTATAAAACGATTTCTCAAAAACTACTAGATATAGTGACAAAATTTTGATATTTAATGATTTAACAAGATCTTTTGAAATAAAAAATGTATATTTTAAACAGGTATTGTTTTCGAAATAACGTAATATGCGATATATAAAAGTTTTTCAATTCTCATCCTATAGGTATGAGAAGAATCTTTCCTTGTGGAATCCTTGAACAATTTCGACCATAAGCATTCGTTGCATGGTGAAAATTTTCAAGTGCGATCACCATTCAATTGATAGTCTATGGTTGAAAAAATCGAGCTCGATACTTGTCGATATTGTTTGCCGTGTGAGACATTTATTTCCAACACCAATTCGTTATGTTTTTGCAGTGTCTACGTCAAATATCAACGCTACGGTTCGATTTTCAGTGAGAGTTTATCACCCTTAAAAAACCGGTCATTGCGAAGCTTCTGTACCTTCTGTATCGTAGTAGGTATTTCGCGTTTAAACAGTGTGTAAAGTTATCATTATTAACCTTGTAAGGGAAGCTTCGCGTTCGGCGGTACATCGAGCGTCGATTGCTGAAAGATACAAAAGTGGTTTAATAAAATCCGTCTAGGAAATAAGAATGAGTCCATTGAATCGAGGACCGTTGCTAGGGCCTAGAATCCCTCCAGCTGGAATACGACCTCCTCTACCTCCTAGATTCGGCGGTAGGCTTCCACCTCCTGGTCTGCCTCCAAGAATGCCGCCGCCGCCTATGAATCCAGTTTTCGGCCCCATGAGACAAAGACTGCCGCCTCCACCAAGACCAGGTGGTGTGACCCGACCTAGTGGACCCATACCGTTGTTCGGCCCAAGGGTCAGAGGTATGGCTCCTATGGTTCCACCAATGGGCTTACGGGGTGCTGGACCTAGAGGACCGTTAATGAGACCATGGTCCAGAAGGGGATTACCACCTCAAATTTTACCCCATATGAGACCACGGTTCTCCATAGGAAATGGCAATACTAAGGGCAAAGGATTAAACAATGTGAAAAAAGTCAGCAAATTGGAAGTAAGTATGAACTTTTGTGGTCCTATAAGTTTATTTTTTTTTTTATGAATTAGTAAGACCGCCATATAATCTAGGCTAAACTGTGTTAGTAAATAGATGGTTAGAAGATTACCTGAAAATTTCACGTGTGATTGAGACTTTACCTCATCTCTTACTCCTAAATTATTACTATCACGTATGTGCAAATAAGTTAGGCCTGGAATATCTGGCGCGTATATATATTCATACGATTCCTCTTTGATGTATTCCTTCTTATTTGTATATACTTTGTAATCTAATTGAGCACTATAGTTTTAAAGGATTAGCTTTGAAAACTAATGTAAACTTACTTCAATAAACTGACTTGTTTTTTCTTTTGTATTTGAAGATGTACGTTCAAAGGATGTTTCTGTCAAGTATACAACACACAAATTATGTAAATTATATAGCACACATTGAAGAAGATTCAATAAACAATTTCTTTTAAATTTAGTCAATGAATGTTTCAAGAATAATTGTTCTAATGTTTATGTATAATTTGTACATCATTCAATGTTTAAACACGCATTCTGATGAGGAGGCATTATTATTATTATTTAGGAATTAGAACTAAAGAAGCCATGGATGACTGATGAAATTCGCAGTGAAATACAAAAGAAAAATAAGCTTTATGCTAAGGCAAAAAAAAATAAAGATGCAAAAGAATGGGAAGAGTTCAAGGACTTGAGGAATAAAGTAACAAGAATGATCAGAGAAGCTAAAAATGATTATCTTGCAAAACATCCTGAACAGGTATTTGTTTCTTTTTTTCCATTTAATTTTTATAAACATAGTATAAGTTAATGCTTTCTTTTTTTGAACTAAAAGTTTTATGAATGAACTGCGTCCTTTTTGTCACTAATGGTAATTATACATATATTCTTTTCATTGGAAAAAATATATATACATACATATATATATATATATTTTAGAAAACAATTTGTGGTATAATTTTGGAAAAGATATTAATGCAAAACTCGGTCTATGAGACAATTAGCAAATACATGCTAATGAATATTTTATGTGCAAATAATTTGACATTATAGTATGATTAAAAACACAACACCATTTACAGTTTCATATTTGTAACAAAAATATTGATATACAGTAAGAAGCAGAAGAGTTTATACGGACAGAACATGTAAAAAAAAAGACTGTATTTTGTCCAGGACTGTTTGCATTTAAATATGTACTGACTATAAAAACTGCTGTACATAATACTAAATCTATTTAAATGTTGTGTTAATGTTAGATTAATAATAGTTTATAATAATTACATTTAAGTAGATATACTCTTGATAAGGAAAAGTAAGAATGCATAAGTAGAAAGCAAAGATTGTTTGTCATACAGGAAGTTCAATAAAGTTTGTTCATTGGAATATCAAGTTATCTGTGTATGTTAGTACAGACAATACAGTTCTTTGTATCTTCATATCCTTACTGTATGAGTACTTTTGTTTCTCATTGTCTTTTTGTGCATCTTGACATTTCACTAATGATTGTCAATTATAGATTCCCTGAATATGCAACTCCAATATGAAGTAAATATATTGCATTCTTCTGTTTTTAATAAATATTTAACATGTCTTCTTATACTGCACAATTAATATCACTAATATAAAGTGTATTTAATTGCACTGAAAGAAGTAGACCACCCTGTATAAATAAGTAAAACATAATTATACAAGCTTGTTATATGATTAATATCTTCTCCTTAAATGTCTCTGTTGCTTGTTAATAGTAACACAATGATTAAGGTTGCATTTCATGTATTCTCTATTGTAGGCAAAATAATACATCCCCATCATTTTTTTTAGCTATATGCAGTAAGTATTTCAGAATATTTTTTATAACATAAGAATATTCTATTCTTAAAGGTAATTTTTTGTACTCTTATTTGCAAGTTTAATGTTATGTGTTTGTTCTCATAAAATGTTTTATACAGTGTTAAGAATTATAAGTTATTCTTATTAAGTAAGTAACTCATTTTAATTGCTGAATATTTAAAAAAAATTCATATGTTCATTTTGAATTGTTTTTTTTTTAATAAAAAAAGGTTGAAATTGTTATCGATTTTTCGAAAAATTGTAAATTGTAATTCACATTTGGAGTAAATATTATTTGCACCAATACATTTAATTGGCACTATGTAATTAATCTCACTTTATTCCGATCGTAGTTGATAAATTGCTTTGATTACAGGGTGGTCAAAAAACTGATGATAAGAATGCGATTGAATCCGAGGGTGTTCAGAAAACTGAGAATGCGACTGAGCAATCAGAGCAAACGGAGCTAACGGAGGAGATGCAGCCTTCCAGCGAACAGGCACAGTCTTAAGCTTCAGGCTACTCCTCCAATAAAGAATTGAACAATTGAAATTACATACACAAGTATTCTGTTTTCAAACTTCAGAACGATTTGATTGTTTCTTACTTTTAACTTAACGCAGTATGTTAATGATACTGCTCTTTGAAATATCTGTATCATTTTTTTTTTAAGTGCAAAATACGAATTTGTATTATTCACTTTTTTGTCATTTGTATAATATCGTTACATTGCAATATAAGTACTCTCTCTCTCTCTCTGTGTCTCTTAGCATTTATAATATAAGTGCATGCTAATTAAACTATTACAATGAATTACTTTGAAATAATAGAGTTTAATATTTGAATAGCAGATATTCTATCATTTCTTGTCGTATTATATAACAAAAAGAAACTGAAGCTGTTTATGTCTTCAACTCATTGGTACAAACTTATGAATGTAAAATTTTGTATATTTCTTATTTTACATAGTTTCACGATAGTAGTATTAGATATCTATACTTTTTTTTTCATCAAGATATATTAAGGACTGGCCTCCGATAGATCTGTCTTATGAAGCACTTTAAATACTCTATGGCCACTATACAGTGCTGCGAGCTATAACATTCCTTATTGAAAAGTTTTGTAGAAGCAGATGTTCGAGACCATTTGTTTGTGTAGTTATCAGAATGCATTCTGTAGTAATCTAAAAGTAACATTTGTTTGATACACTAAAATTACATGTTTTTTTTTCTACGTAGCTTGTGGCTCTGTATCGAAATATGACTTCGCGTAGTATACAATTATTGTAATTGTTTGATATTATGTGTCGTAGTATCGAGTACATTTTATTAATTTCTATAACACATGACTTCCATAAAACAAATTCAGGGCAAGAATAAATTTGTAATTAAGATATGCGTATTGTAAGAATAAATCGTATTTCTATAAGTTCTAAATCTGGTGTCCCCGATTACTCTGTAAACCATTTAAGAAAAAGTAATTAGGCACATGGCGTTGAATAATCGTTCTGAAATATGAAAATGATCTTTCGGATTTTCTGTGTCAAAGAACTTTTTATACAAGATAATACATATTGTCTTTCTAGAATTTTCATCCATTAAATAGATTTTACGGCATAGTGTAAAATGAACACGTACTAGATTTAATCAGTATTATATAAGAAGTAAATTTTAAAAAATATATATTATTAGATATATTATTTTACTGAAAAATAACATACAGATAGAATTCAATACGGTATATTTTAATCAGTACTTTAAGGGTCTCTTATATTTTCAATGATACTTTATGGTTTATAATTGCAATAGTTATATATGTATTTTTCAAACTGCAATGTATTCTACACACTGTATGTTGTATTTACAACGAAACTTTCTTCAACAATGCGAAAATTTAACCGAATATCAGTGTTCAAGAAAATGGACGGAAAATCTGAGTTTGTATCAATTCTCTCAACTTGAAGATTGAATTTCTGAATACCCTGGAAAGCATTATAATGTATCATATATGATCAATTATGTTACATATCAGCACAAGTAATCACCTATGTTTACATATATATATATATACAAGGAAATAGATTCTGGATTCGGGAAGAAGAAAATCTTAGTTAAAAATTATATCTGGTTGTACAGAACATAAGTTTAGTTTGTACAGAATAAGTCTCTAAACAAACACCATGTATAATTTTATATTAACACATAAAAATTTGGAACTTGTGATCATTTAAAGAAGAAAAATTATTTTAAAACTGTGTTATTCCTTAACAGTTAAGTAAAAACAACTTGTTTAACATCAGTAAAAATTACGAAACTTTAAGGAATAAAGGTATGAAACAGAAATGATTAAGAATTAATAAAACATCCAGTATTAATGATTGTACACTAAGAAGTATTTTTGCATTGAAGTCGAGTGTGCATAATGTATACCAATATTTGAAGTTACCATTTTTAGGCTCATCTTTATCCAAACGATGAAGACCCGTATGATCAGAGAGACGAAAATTATACCACTTCAGAAGAAATTGAGTCGTATTATTGTGAAATATGCGACAGAGATTTTCCATCGGAGGATGGTCTTTTTACACATAAAAATGAACACAAAGTTTGTGGTATCGATGGATGTACCTTTTCTGCTCATCCATTGCTTGTTGAAAAACACATTACCATGCAACACAACAGTGGTTTATATCACAGGATGACAAATCTAACAACTCGAGAAGACATTGAAAAATGGGTAATGGAAAGAAAGAAGTAAGTTATGTCTTACTAAATGTACATACATTGCCGTTCATAAGTATTAGAACTTAGTACAAGACACCTGGTCTCTATAAAGAAAATGTGATGTTTAGTAAAATGATATATTCTGGGCCACTTTTATTTCTTTATCTTAGTATAAGAGATGTCCATGAAGCTTTAATGTTCCCTAAACAATATTTATTTCTGACCTTCAATTTATCCTTTACTTCATATTCGACAAGTATTTTGATACTGACGAACGGAAATGTATAGCGTGAAAACATTAGCAAATGTAATTATTAATGGCATTACAGACGATATCCTACGAAAGCTAATGTTGAGTTACGGAAAGCAGAAGAAATTGAGAAGGTAAAGAGGGGAGAAATAATTAAGCAGAAGCAAGATGTTACAAAACGAAAACGAAACAAAGTGTTACGGTCAAAGAATAGGAAACGAATAGTACCAAAACGATCTACACAAGTATATAGTGATAATGTGCAAGTGCAAACATTGTATAGAGGTTTAAACGAATTTTCGGGAACACGTAAGCATTTAATGATTGCATTATACAGTTAGTCTTTTTTTTAAGATGTTCTTGTATTAAACATTTCAGTAAGTTTACAAGAAACGGAGTTGCAAGAGGAAGATGAAACTAATAACAAAACCATAGATAGCGAGTGTGAGCAAAGTGTTAACTTTATTTCCGACGAGGAAGATGTACTAATTCCTTCAACTCAGCCAGCAATTACTACTTTTTGCTTACCTAGTTTAGTAGCAAATTATGGAAGTGCGTCTGAAGAAAGTAAGTGGGGGTATTTATTAATATTTGTCATGTATTAATATATATCCTATATATTAAAAATATTATTCTCAGGTGATGCGCCCGAAGAAGTTCCAATTAAGAAAGTAACACTAGAGTGTGATGTAATTACAAAAGAAAATAATATTGAAAAGGAAGAAGTAAAAAATAATGAGTCGGTTGTTAACACTGCATACTTGAACATAAATGAACAGCAATGTTTAAATTCACAGTCGCAATCAAATTTAATTTCTAGCAATACAACTCCACAACACAAAAATAAACAAAATACTGACTCAAAACAACATCCAAAAGTTAGAGAGCAGAGAACGATTGTAAATAAGAAACAACCGCACAATTTGCAGTTATTAGAAAGATTGCTTTCGCGATCTATACAACATGAAAGAAATGTAATTTGCCAATGTATTAGATATATAGTAGATAATAATTTCTTTGATAAATAGCTAGGTAGTATAATGTATATTTTTATTAATGACACGATGAACATTAAACTACCTCACGTTTATATTGGTCCTTGATTATAAGGGAAATAAATGGCATGAAACATAATAACTGATTCATTGTTTATTTGTTTGGTTGTATCTAAAAATATTTTATACTGGTCAAGTTTTAAAAGAATGCCTTTTCCTTTTTTTAGGCTGCTTTTTTTGAAGTTCTAAGGCACTGTCATCTTCTGATATTCTCTTTTCGCTGGTTTTTATTGATATGAGATTTTTACTTTTCTTCCCAATAAGAGCGTCCTTCCACTCAACTTCTGAGCCTTTGATGGCATATTGCTCCAAATTTTCCCTTTTCAATTTTTCTAGTTCAGCTTTTTGCTTTGATTTCAATTCCTGAAAGAAACGATACGAAATGTTACACGGGGAATACTTTTATAAATGCGATTGAAATCCATTACATAAAAAGATTACAAAACCTTAGCTGCGGTTTCTAATTCGTCGTGTAAACTTTTTCCACTAATGGGGTTAAGTTGTACATTCTCATTATTGGATTCCTTTTTCATCATAGTACTTTCAATAAAGTTTTCAGCAACTCCATTTAAGTATTGTACAAATTTACGTATAATCCGATTAAACAGACCAAGTAATTGTGAAGATGGTAAATCTAATTCCTCTGCTAATTTATCAACAGTTTTACGTTGTAAGCCTAATCCTAACAGTATAGCCTGGAAGTAAGGGTTATTATTTTTAGAATGCTTACAGCACGACGAGATTTATATTTACGTTAAATTATTAAAAAATAAAATATTACTGATTGCACAGCTGATAAATGAGTGTCGCCCATCATATTCAAAAAATATAAGCGCGCTAGCGGCGGCAATAAATCCATTACCAAATGATAGTCTGCCATGTTATTACTATACATGGATAGGCGTTTTAAATCGTAAGATGTAAAATGTACATCCAATGTATCTTTGTTCAGAGCTAAAAAATAAAAGTTAACTCCGTTAAAAGAAACGCTATAACTATATAATACTATAAAAAGGAACGTATGGTTAAAGATGTACTAACTAGTAACTTCGGAGGTAATTGTTTTGTTCATCAATATACTCAACGCCAATGGAGATGTATACGTATTAAACGAGAAAGAGAGTAACGTTACGAATCGTCGTCGAAAATCATTCCAATAATCTTGCAACCACTTAGCATCCTCCTGTTGGTCGAAATTTATTTTATACAACATTATGCAAGAGTGTTCGCCTGTTATATCGTTTGCGGTTTGCCTGAAAAAGCAATGAAACAACCATTCATTCATTCATTTGTACTCCATATGCTAGAATGTAACCAAATAGGGTTAAAGGGTATCAATCCAGACCTTAGATACACAGGCACGAAATTAGCCCGTTTCCAAAATTTCAACAATTGTTCAGTAATACCAAAAGACACCCCTAAATAATCTAAATTTTCTGGTTGTCTTTCATTCAGTTTTAGGAGAAGTGGCGGTAGGGTGGCCCGAGGCTCTAAAGAAATAGAATTATGATATTAGTAGGTTACAATAAAACAAAATTGATCTTTCACACGTTGGCTCTCACCATAGTAAATATGAAAGAAATATTCAATTTTTAAACATTAACATTTATAATCCTGTAAACGTATTTAGTAATAAAATAATGATCCAAGCAGCGTAATTCTTAATAGCAGAGCTTCGTCGACATATTAATATATAATGTAATGAATGCATTTACCAATTCTCTCTTCAAGTAATGTAACTTCTTCATCTTGCACCCTGGATATTTCTGTGGTGGGTACATCTAAGGGTGTTTCGTTGATGTTAAGTATTTTCATTTCATAGTACTGTTTCAACAATTCTAATGCTCGGCTTCCGTATCCCATCTGCGGCCATTATTGAATACAAATAATATATTTTAAATGTAGTTGGAACGGTTAAAGTGTAAAGATTGCAAAGTGAAATTAACTTACCCCGTGATATTCCGGATGCGTCGCGATACGAACGATACGTGCACCAGCTAACGATGGAAAATCTTGATCTTGATACTGCTGCGCCATAGTCCACGGTATAAGATCACCAGCCGCCCTTCGTCCACGCACAAGCCCATCATTTATCGTATTCTTACTCACTTCACCTTCTAAACAAATCTACACATTGCGAAGATATTAAAACTACTACAAGTACTCCAGTTACTGAAATTTACGCATATGTTCGTAGTTACTGTTTACACATTATATACTTACTTGAATCACTACTAATATTTCAGGTAACGTTTTCTTATTTGGATCAACCGGGCCTAAGAGGCAGAACAGATGATGCGCTGGTGCATCGGACATCATTTGCAAATCATTTGGACTGTTCTATAACATTTTACAAGTTTAGTGCTTTGTAAATTAAAAAAAAAAACGTACACAATACTCTTTCTATTCGAATCACATATTACCCAGTTACGAGCGATAAGAATCGTTCGAACAGTATCTAGCAATGATATTTACTTTGTAATGTGAGGCGACATAGAGCGCAACTAGCCTTTGTAAAAATAATTCGGATGCCTTATGATAGGAGAACAGAGTGTCCCTAGAAAGAAAAAGACATAATCCGACACAGTACTTTTGAAAATACTTACTTGTATTTAACATAAATGACGTACCTATTTATATAATATAATTGACACAAGTCTGGCGGTGGGCATCCAGATAATATAGACACGTTTGTAGTAGCATTTAAACATAATAAATCGCATAACCATTGTTCAATAGAATCTCCTGGTTTATATCGAATAGACTCTTCGAGAGTGAGTTCATGTAATTGTCGTCCGATAACAGTTCTTTCACTCTGTTGTTTATCAGGTTTCTCGTGTTTATTAGAAACGGCTGTTTGATTACGTAACTGTTGCAATAATTTGAGTGACAAAGATCTACCTGTACCCTCGTATCTGTTCACGGATAATTGTACAAATATAGAAATGATAATAAACTTTAGATAGTCATAGAAATTAATTGATATACAAAGTATTATTCATACCCATTGATCGTTGATGCAAGAAATACTAGATAAGGACCAAACATAGCTTTCACATATGGAAGAGGTATTGCAGCAGCTTCATCAATCACAAGCAGTTCAGCTTGGTTCAGTTTATGCGCATCAGTTGGATGAATGTACTACAGAAAATGACTTGTTTTTATTATTAATTGTATATAAATATTTCAGTAAAAATTAAAAAATTTCACCTGAATTGTTTGTCTGTGATCCCGAAAGATATTTACACGTACGGTAGCTTTATTAAATTCGGGATTTGTTGATTGTACCAGTCCATAATCAAGATGTTCTTGATATCCTAATGCATCAAAGCCTAAAAATGATATAAGAATAGATTGATATATGGTATGTTATATATTATTTTAATTATGTAACATATAATTTACCTTTAAAAACGAACTCAAATAAAGTAGTTAAATTTTCTGGACTTGGACTAGAAATATATATATTTGAATAACCAAAGGTTACAGCACCAGCAACAGCTAAACCCAAAGCTGCAGATTTTCCACGTCCTCTAGCAGCAGTCAAGGAAACGGTGGACCTCAATGTTTTCTCTGATATACATTCGATAAATGTAAGAAGTGCTTTTGCCTAAAAAGGATAAATTAATTATTTCTTTTTCTGAACGTAAATCAAAGTTAACTTTTATACAGTATATTTAACAACCTGATCAATTGTTTTGCAACAGTTAACAAGAGAAGAAATAGGTTGTGTGTCTTTCAAACTTTCTTTCAGGGCATTCAATTCTGTTTGTTCCTCGGAAGAAGGTAATTTTTGCACAGGTTCAATTTTCAAATTATGCGATGACAAAGGTAACACATTCAACTGATCATCAACAACTAAACATCTTTTACAGGATGCCAGAGACAACAGAAATCTTTCATTAAAACGACCAACTACATCCTGAAACAGATTCAAAGGATGAGATAATACTATAACACAATTTTTCACTTAATGAAATAAATATTTGTAGCATACTTGATGGGCTTCTGTACGGAATCTTTGATGAACATCCATATTCATTGTATACAGTTGTTTTAATGAATTTACAGATTGCAAAAGGAATACAATAATTCCCCCTCCCTCTATGGTTTCAATAGTACGAGCTAATAAATTTGGAGTAATTGCTTCAAAATCCTATAAAACAAGTCAATTAAGTAACAGATAAAACAGATATAAAATACAGAATAATGTGAAAATAAGAAATCTCACTTGTAAAACACACATGCCATAGGTATTTCCTAATATCTTATGAGTTTCATGATAATAACAATAGCGTATGTTAGTGGACACAACAAACAATTCAAATGGATCATCTTCATTGACATCCAACTTCCCTGACTTGACTTTCTTCTGCAAAGACTTCATTTTCTTCTTTCTGTGACTGCTGAAAACACCAAAGTATAGATGGTCTAGCTTTTATAACAGACTTTGACAGCATATGATGTAGCAAAACAACCTGTCAAAAAGTCTAATTTTTAACTCCGTCGATAGTAATAAATTAACAAAATTAATAATGTTGTTTCAGATCATTATAATTAAAGTTCACATTTACCTGTGACTGAAGTAAAAATTTGATCACAGAGATTGTTACTTACTTGGTCCCTTGCTTTTTCACCGATAACAATAAACATTGTCCTGTGTCCTTTGACAACACCATTTTCAATTAAAACGCGGATGCGATTATCTATTTTTTTGCGTACCATCTTTAAAACAAGTCTTCTTTTCTAACCTATAACTTCAAAAGCGTGCACACCGCACCGCATGTATATTAGGTATATAGCGTGGATGATGATATATGAATAGTATGCACTGTAATGTATAAGTCAACACGTGTCATGACATTCCACCAATTGAAAGTCAACGTTAACTTTTCTATAAGTTTATTAAATCCGAAACTGAATAATTTTGTATTTTATCGCTATATATTTATTGAAGAATGATCATTGTGTCTAGAAAAAGACGAAAATGAAATAAATTAAAAACGGCTGCACAAGAATTAAAGTGAATGAGAACCCTGAGAACCTTTGTTAGATTATATACAACGGAATACACTGAGTACACATGTACTCAGTAGCGCAAAGGGCATGTACTGACATGTACTTATAGCAACAAGATACTGTATGTATATATACTTATATGATTTTTTGTATATGTTTATTTTTGCGCTTCATATACAATATAAAGAGTATGGTATTGCTCTTTTGAAACTATTTCAATTGCTTGTCATGAGAATTAGTTCCCATTCGTTTAATTTTTGTGACATTTACGGAGAGAATAGTTCGGTCTTTGTGAATGGGTTTCGAAACATAACCATAACACCGGTCTCGAATGGAATTGAAATAAATATGTGACACAAACATATATTGATCTTTTTGTGATAAAAGATAACAAAACAGTTTCACAAGAAAATTCTTTGAAAAATTGTATGTTTTTTTATGTAATTATTCCGACACAATAGTCACATATACCTCAATAATATCTAAGAGATAACTAAATAATATAATTATTTCATAATATATTACTTATTTATCATAAATGTTTCATTCATCTATTAATTCAACTATTTTTAATGCTTGTGAAGGTATAGTATTTTTATAAAATTTATAGTTTAGAGTACATAGACATAATTAAAATCTTTATAACTAATTGAATATTTTTATTGTGAGTACAGAGTATTTAAACAGAAATAAATATGGTCGATGGAAATCCACTGAGACCTACTTCCTTGAATCTAAATATGCCTACTGTTATTGCTTTTGGGAATCCTTTATTAGACATTTATGTACATTTAAAGGACAAGGAGTTTCTGAATAAGCATGGTCTTGCAGAGAATGGAGAAATTGAACTACCTTTTAAAAAGATAGAAGAAATATGGACAGATTTAAAACTCGGGTTAATAGATACATTTATTAATAAACACTGTGCCTTTACACTACACATTATACAAATACAGTGTATATTTTAATAGTTATAAATAAACATTAACACTGTATTGTAAATAGTCAACAGAGAAGGTTCAATGTTGGAGGGTCAGCACAGAATTCAATGAGAATTTTGCAGTGGTTATTTGACAACACCTTGAAGAATCAAAGTTGTATTTATTGTGGATGTCGTGGAAAAGATCCTAAGGGAGCAAAGTTAAATATTTTAGCTGAGTCAGCAGGTGTTGATTGCAGGTTAGCAGATGTCTAACTACTATGAATAGATGTTCATTTCTCCATGATATACACTTGCTAGAATACATTTCACTTTTTAGATATGCATTTCATCCATGGTTACCTACTGGGCAGCGTATAACATTTATATACGAATCATCGCGAAGTTTAGTTGCAAACATAGGAGCTGCTGGTGTATATACATTAGATGATTTTAAGAAAATTAATTTGCCATTGGATACAATAAAGATAATTTATATTGAAGGATTTTTTATAATGCACAGTTTCCCCGTTGCTAAGGAACTTATCAGAATAGCAGAAGGAAACAATATAATTTTAGCCTTTAATCTTAATGGAGTGTACATGTTCAAAGTATATGAAGATTGAAAGTTGTTTGAGTAGTTTGTTAATGTAATTGTGTAACAGTAATAGTATGCCATGTTAATTTTTGTAGGATCACCAGGCAGCCATCTGTCAAATGGTCGGACATGCTAACATTGTGTTTGGCAATGCAAGAGAAATGGAGGCTCTGGCTCAATCTCTAAATATTACATACGACGATGTAACTGATATACCATTTTTGTTGAATAGTATGAAAAGAATTACAGTCAATGCTTCTAGTATACCTAATGATAACTGGTTACATCATGGTAGAATATTTGTTATGAGCCAAGGAGATTCTGCCCCAGCAATTACAGTTTGGGGAAATGGACAGTCTGTTCAGGTAAATTAAAAATGATTTCTTAACGTATCAATGAACAATGACTGTGGATATTTATGCAGTGAAACATTTCTGTACATTAATTTGTAAAAATGTGTATTAAAAGTAAGAGAAATAGTTCATTGAACTTTATCAAACTCCATGTTTTATTATATTTTAGGGATTCACGTGTACTATAGATACATAAAATTCGCAAACGAACTTAATAAGACAAATAAAAGTTACATTATATTTTTATTTAGGTGCACCCAATTAAACCAAGGGATCCTATTGTAGACACAACAGGTGCCGGCGACTCATTGGTAGCTGGTTTCTTGGCAGGTGTTTCAGCACAATGGAAGCCACAATGTTGCTTAGAATTTGGTTGTAGAGTGGCTTCTTTTCTGGTAACAAAACTCGGAGTTACATTGCCAGCAAAAGTGCCAACAGATTTACTAATGTGGGCACGAGACCTCCAGACCCATCAAGAAAAGTTAGGGAACTAGGTTTGGGTTTGGCTGATTATCCAGAATCCCTCTTTTACCTAAGTTTCTACGGTAGTGCATAATATAATTATGTCGTGCAAGAATTTATGACTCATTTCGATTTAGGATTTTATTAGTGAAGGAATCATTGTGATAAAGAGATATAAGATTTTGTGTCTGTTTGTATGTCTGTATTGACGACTTCTAAGCTCAATTATCTGTCTGTTATGGAAACAAATTTTTTAATTTATGCAATGTGTTGTGTGAATGTTACATTTATGAAATGTATATATAATGATTGTATTTTTGTGACAAAGTAGTATATATATATACTATATATACATATATAGTATGTAATTGATAATATATTTATATATATGATAAATGTATATAGAATCTTTATTCAATACTAATAGTCAAGTATAAACAAGATGATACAAGGATGTTAACCATGCTGTTACGTATACTGAAAAAAATACTGAATTCACAGAATGTTTTAATGAAAAATCTCAATATTTGCTTCATGTACATATAAATATGATTCTATTGTATGTGTTAACAGATTAACTTTTGAAATTCAATTTCAAAGTAACAGGGAAATGCCATGTCTATGTACAAATACAATTTTATTGTACAAATAAAAATATTTTTATAAATAAAATTATTTTGGAAAATATTTTATTTGAGATATATTGTTTACACATGTTTGTTTATTATGAGTAGATTGTGAATTTCTACGCAAAAATGAATTTTTATAGACTAATACTAATTCATAGAAACGAGAACTAATGAAAATTTGTTTGTTTTATTAAGGCTTCTGAAGGCTTCTATTAAGGTTTAAAGAAAATAAAGATTTGATAAAATTGTATTGAATATTTTTGTTCATTTTACTTTTACTAAATGCATAAAACCTGTGGTCTAATTATGAGATACTTTTTCATTAGTACAAGAGAATGTGGTCGTTTATGAACAGCTGAAGCGTGAGCGTGCTTTCAGTAAGTCCGCAACGAAGAGGGGGAAAATAGTTTATTTTTGTATACGTAATAGACGTGATTGAAGCGTTGAAAATTTCGACAATGTCTATGGTAAGTATTCGATAATTCACGTTCATACAAATTTTTATATTAAAGCTTCTATGTTTACATGTATTGCTGAAATAAATACATGAGTACTTGTTGAAAAATATCGTTTGACACATTATTTAACCTCAATGTCTAAATAAAATAGAGAAATAAGACTTTTTATAGATTAAAGTTTAAAAATGCAAGTAATAATAACAAGTGATTAATAATAAATAAAATATTAGTGTAAGATCACGAATCAAACATAGATGGTGATTTGTAAATCAGTCGCTACATGGTTCACTTGCTCCTGTTGGTTTTAGGTGATAAGTAAACAAAACTTTAAAAATATTTGTTTATAGATTATATTAATCACATTTTGTGTTTTGCAAATACCAATTAACATTTTTTCCATATTTTCGTAGTACGTAAAAAGACGAATGATCTGGATTCTGATCAAAATAATGAATTCTGATTAGAATTAGTTGAGAGTCTAGTGTAAATAATAAGTTAATCTATGTATTATGAATGTACAGTAAAGTATAAATGTCTTTATTCTCCAGCGACCTGACGATCATAGACGAAAATGGAACAGGGAAGAATACGAAAGGATAGCACTTCAGCGTCTCCAGGATGAGATCGCTGAAGAGGAGCTGGGAATCCCAAAACAGCCAGCTGTAAAAAGGGAGTTGTTAAAGCAGAGAGACTATAAAGTTGACCTTGAATCTAAATTAGGAAAAAGTGTTGTTATTAACAAAAATACACCATCATCCCAAACTGGAGGGTAAAAATACAAAAATTTATTTTGCTAATTAATAAGAACCTTTGAATAGTAGTAATATAGGAATACTCTATTTACAGATACTACTGCAATGTTTGTGATTGCGTTGTAAAGGATTCCATTAATTTCTTAGACCATATCAATGGGACGAAACGTAATATTTTTCATTTATTAATTAATATGGTAATCTATTATTCTTAAGTAATTATTATATTATGTTATTCTTTTAGATCAACGTAATTTGGGCATGTCAATGAAAATTGAACGCTCTACGTTGGATCAAGTTAAAGCACGTTTTGCAATGAATAAAAAGAAATTAGAAGAAAAGAAAAAAGATTATGATTTGGAACAAAGAGTAAAAGAGTTGAAGGAAGAGGTTTGTTTCATCTTGCATGTATTTGTATGAATATATTCATATGTATTATCATTTCTATTATCTACAGGAGGAGAAAATAAAGGAGTATAGAAAGGAAAAGAGGAAAGACAAGAAGAGAAAAATCGAAGAAGTTAATGATGACAATGGTGGACCATCTGACGAAATGGCAGCAATAATGGGTTTCTCGGGCTTTGGTTCTAAGAAAAAGTGACAATGAAGTATTACCGGGCCGTTTATGATAAAATGCCTTCTGACGATACACATGTCTAGAGACAAACAACGGTGTCACTTACCGACTTCTTGCAAAACAGTTCATTTGTATATTTACATTGTGCAGTACAAGGTCAAGGACAAATAAGACTGATCTTAAATTACGAAAGCTTATCTTTGATATCGATATTTAAGTTCTCGGCAGATCGAAACATTCTAATTTACTCCCTTCTTCTTGTACGATCGATGTTCCACACGTGTAGATATATTTTATCTGTATTCGATATAGCTTTTAATTCGTTAAACATAATGAAAGTATGTTGATTTAGTGAATAAATATTAACGGTGAAACAATAACAGAAGTACTGCAACGGATTCCATAAAATTAGATCTGGTCTCAGGAATCGCTTTGTCTATCAATATATATTTTAAATTATCCATAACTACTACAAAACTGATCTTTCTAAAATACATTTATAGTTCTTCTGGACCATCAGTGTTACGAATAATCATTTGAATATGCCTCTCACGAATTGTTAATGAAATTATACACGATTTTATAAATAAAGTACCGTTCTGTGATTCTGTGAAAGAGGGTGTACTGTGTATTTTAAAAAACATTAAGCTTAGCATTTTCAAAAATGAATTATTATATAAGCTTTTTTTTTTAATTCCATTATAAATTGCGAACGTATCTAATGTGTATTAATTGGAGGGTTGAAATGCAATCGACCAGCGATTCCAAATTTCAATCGAGTCGAAAGTGGTGGTCGATAATCGTTTCCACACAACTTTCTCTCTTGCGCTTTTATTCGATTTCCTTCTTCTCTCGCCGGTGTTGGATAAAGGAGGACGGAATTCTCGAGAAGAGTTCTATGGGGATTCGTCGCGTGTACGCATTACAGAGGATAGATGTAGCGTACTCTCTCTTTCTGTCTTTCCGCGGTCGCGGAGAGAATGGATCGAGGAAGATCGAAAACCATGCCCGTACGCTCCTCCTACCTAAGGCTAAGCACCGGGAACCACCGTTTTACTTGGTTCATCTTAGCATCGTAGTCCAGTGTAGTCGACACTCGTGGCCACGGTGCGTCCACGAGTGCGGCCATATTTCCCGAAGGTCAGCCATCCGTGTGATCCAGGTACAATTGGGAAGCGGCGAAGCTCCGTCGAAGCCGTTCCTATCGCGAACCAGTTTCCACGTGACTTCTGATTGATCCCCTACGGCCAGTGCACGTGCGTCGGTGGTGCGCGTTGATTTTGACGTTTCGTTGCCTCCTGTTTTTTTTCTATTGGACCGTCTACCGGAAATTTCCACGAGAACGGAAATATTCTACAGTGAATAAAATTAGACTATTTAGTGCGCGGAATTTGAAATCGTGGATCGGAAACATTGCAAACGAAGAATTGTGCCAATTACTTTGAACTGTTATAATATCTGACGACGCTTCGAAAGGATCAGGACCCCATGAAAGATGTGACTTGTCGTGGTGTACTTTCCACGAACTATGTAATCCAGGATTTGTTGAGAGGATCAGTGGACGTACAGATCTGAATGCCTTCATGAGACACTCCGTAAACGGCAGTTCTGCTGGATTGTCATTCTGCTGTGTGAGAAAAACCGACGGATCCAACGATGCCACGAACCCTTCAACCTATCCAGGAATGCAACTCGGGAAAGTCAAGTGAGTCTATGAACGTTTCATTAAATATGTCGTATAGAAAAGTTTTCTTCAATGGTAATCCGCTACACTTTTCAAAAGGCGGTAAATAGTTCAGACTAAAGTCTATCTTGCAGTCCTTCTCACTGGTAAAAATGACATATTTATTGTAATATAGATTCGTAATTTTGTTATCTCATTTTTTTGCGAATTCAAAAATTGATCAAATTGGTGTGCCTGTAATAATTGACGAAAAAATTCAGCGAATTTATGCAGTAACTAGATACTCTTATAATTAAGTACTGCGATTCCAGGTCTCGAGTGATTTTTCAACCACTGTTTAGGTATGTTAATTCGAACGTGATAATAATACAAGCAGCGAGAAAATTCGTTAAAACAGGTGTACAAATTATCGGTACCGTGTTTAATTGTAACTTTGCGAGCGGAATAGTAGCACGGAGCAGGTTCCTTTGGTTCATAAAAATTCCCTCGAGAACGTGAGTTTTTAATTTACCGTTTTCACTGTACATATATACATATATATGCGGATTGTCTTCGAACGGATAATCACGTGAGTCCGTTTCTGCGGGAGCTACACGCGTTCGGCAAATCCACGGTTTCTTGGCCTGAAACGACGCGGCGCACTTTCCCTTTTCTTTTCCACGGAAGTGAAAATGATCGGGCTAGAGTGAATTCTGTACATTATACGGCGTCTGCTCACGATTCTCTTCTTTCAAACTCTTGTTTTCAGAATTTCTGCTCACTCGTGCGCGATCGGACGCCCGTGTCGCGACCAATGTACCGAAACGCTTTGATCGTTGCTCGTGTGAAATGAATTTCTCGTGGATTAAGTCGCGGGGAATACTTATGTTTCGTTATGACTGTGAAAAAACCAACGATTTCTATCCATTCTTTAATGATCGAAACATTATTTCAACGAACAGAATTGGTGCTAGTGGTTAAGCATTAAGTTCAATGTCAACTTTGCAATAATGTTTTGTAGTATTTAAATATTTTTCAGTGTTTTGCAGATAGTATAGTGTGAAGCTTGTTTGGACGTATTATTGATTTACAGTTTTATTATGGTGCTATAGTAGTATTAGTAGTATGTACTTAGTAATACAGATGATTTGAAGACTTCAACACCTGGTTATTAAGGTGGCGACTTCAACGCCTGGGGAGTACTGTCGCCCGCGGCTACGGACCCCTATTACGATAATTTACGACCGTTTTTCGAATCGAATGTATTTACTCGCGAAGGAAATGTTTTTGTGCCAAGGGTTTCAAATTTTGTAACGTTTCATTATCATAGACAGGTACGAACCCTAAGTTATTCAAATTAATCTGCCACGTTTTTATTCATAGATCATCGTTGGTATTTAAGGTCAGGCGAAATTTTTCGTTTCGCCTTCTCTTTTACCTGCTCGTTTCATCGTTGAATAGTTTTATGACGTCCCCTTGACGTCTATTATTAATCACTGTCATTATTATTCTAATACGTGTCGTGAGCACTTAGCTATTTCTAATTATTACTTTCTTCTTCGACACGAGCTCCAGAAAACATCGAAAGTCACCGATGAAAAAATCGTTATTGCTTTCGCTCGATGGTCGAAGTAATTTTTGCAATGAGATTTTCGTTACATGGAACTTGCCAATAGTCTTTCCCTGTTTGGTTTTTAAGAGACGCACGGAGAATGTTTGATCTTGTGCTTCGTATGATTAAAGTGCTCTCGATCATAGCAGGTCTGCTAGTTCATGAGCTGAATTAAAGAGGAAGAACATGTTGAGCTGATCATTCTTCATTTTGTGACAGGGTGTACCGCCTTATGGTATAACATGTCTTCAATTCCTGACTTGTTCGTCCTTAATGGAGCAGCAATTACGAACCTCGTAGTTATAGTGCTCCTTGCCACACTCGATGTTCGGCTAATAGTTTCAGTACCTTCCATATTCTTACGTGAAGATTGCGTTTTAAAGTGATATCTAGTGATCGATGTCAACAATTACAGGATCACGAATACTCAGGTGACTTATTGAATATCGTGAATGTTATCGATAGAGTTGGGCAGAATTTTATTCGAATAATATGTTCACAAGAATTTATTATTTCATTATAGAAATTGGAATTTCCATGATTAAAATATGCTAAAAATGGAAAAGTCCTTTTGTTTCATCTTTTATTCATTATTCGAGATTATTTATCTACATAATGCCAATCTTGGTTACCGACTACTTTACATAAATCAAAATCACAAAGACATTGGTTCCACCAGTGACGAAGTTTGTTAAAACAAAATAATACCAAAACTATATCAATCTTTTATCTCCATATTAAAGCTTTCATTTCACAATGTTTCACGTATTTTACACAGATAAACGCCTGACATTCGGAGTTCACTAATTATTATATATATCTCTATCTACATTTTCGAAGATGCTGTATTTATTCACTTACAAGAGACAGAGAAATATAGAGAAGTCTCGAATATCGTAGCCAAAGAAGTCTCTTTATCGAATCGAAAACGAGAATAACAATTACCCGCTTTAACAGAGCGGATCTAGGACTCCGTCACGCTGCGATTTCGACGGACATGTGCGACACGCGATTAAATCACAATTTTAATTGAATTACACGCGCCTCACTTCGAGTAATTTTATTAAAATGATGCCCCTTGTATAATATGTTCCTGCTGCGTGCTCGCCCATCAGGATCGAGCAATATGTATAAGGAGAAACAACAACCGTTGTCTTCGCGAATTCCGCTGTCATGCTCGTAACGCGTCGGTTTTTTCGCTTGTTTCGCGAGGGGCATCATCATCATCGACGAGAACCGCTACACACTGGACACCCTGACACGATTTACCGGACACCGTGTGCGCGCGCGCGCGTCGTATGTACTGTGCAGGAGCTGACGAGATGATTAGCGGAACGGCAAAGTGGCAAGAGGGATGCTCCACTCGCCTGTGTAAGTCCCCCTGTGACGCTCCTGTCGGCCAATGGTCGTCACGCAGTGCTTTATAATTGGATTGTGTGTGTGACCGATTAGGCCAGCCGTGGGTAAAGTTAGCTCCCGGGTTAGTTCTTTGTTTCTACGAAGGCACACGGTGCGAAAGAAAGGTTGGAAGGGGAAACAGGCGCGTGAGGTGTCCCTACGCTGCTCAGCGCTGGATTAGGCGAATACAGTAAAATTTGGATTAGTACTCGAAACGATCTACGGTGTAAGCACCCCGTGTTCATCCCCATCACTGAGGGGGGCCGCCTTGGAACCAGTCAAACATACAGAATGCACAGTAATTTCTCGATGAGTGTTCGAAGGCTCTTCGGCAGTGACATGGAAAGATCCCCAGGTGTAACGCTGACTTTTTAATGAGATTCGTCACAGTGATTGAGCTTGAAATTCCGAAGCAAATGATATTTGTTTCAGCCGCATATGGCCATTAGTTTATGAAATATTTACTGTTCAGTGCCGAGGAGCCATCAAACATTCATCGAGGATTTACTGTAGTTCCCTATAGCTGAAAGTGCGTGTGAAACAAGGTGTGTCACTTCCAGTCTGACCAATCGTACGCGCATTCTTTCCGATCATTATCTTGTCAGATCTGCACAATACGTTCGCCGATCATATGTCAGTTTCAACGATGTACAGTCGAGATTTATACATTTTTGTAGTGGTACTACCACCACTAGTGTCTATTCAGTGTATTCACAGGAGCGCGTTCATAGCGCACGCTCACCTAAACACGGAAGAATTTTGCCGTACGGTGGTTTGTCGGTGATTATCGAGCAGAATGCTTCGACCTCTAACACCTGTTGGAAAGTCACGTCTCTTCCTGTTTCGCAAGTTTCGCTTCTGCGAACAGGACAAAAGGGCCCCGCGAGTCCAGCTTAGAGGATGATGCGCTCGCGCGTCCACGGTTCTTGGCGTGAAAAGGCCGCGTTTCCATTTTACGATGGCCGGACACGAAAGTTAACGGTCTTTTGAAATACGTCGGGATGACAAAACAGTTTCGGTTCCCTGTCGGTGAACACCTAATGCACGCGTTGCTGCAAACGAAGATGGTTTTAATGTCGCTGATATTTATAGGTTGATCGTTTGGTTAATCGTAATTAGTGTCGTCGATGACACTGATTATAATTCATGCGACGAAGTATGGTAACCTTGTGAAAGCTGCTTATATGCCAGTCGTATTTAAGCACGACTGCTGCTTGAGTATCGCGTACATGTGTTTTTTGGGAACTGAACGCTATGAGGCATATATTGTTTTCTGTGAAAATTATTGGAAGTATTTTTAGTAATATTTTTCAGTTTGGTATATGTAGACTGTAGTAGTTTTTGCGAGTTCAGAATTTCAGGTAGTAGTATTTAAAGATTAAAACGGGAATGAATTTTACATATTACAGTACTTTATTTTACATAATACCGACCATAGACTTGCAAGAGTTAACGCATGGTAATATGATAAACTCACTCGAAATATTAACGACATAGTGTAAATGAAACGATTGAATAAATTACCAACAATATCACAGATTTTGATAACTGGATCAATAAGCTGATTCAGCTTTGTCCGTATCTAAAATTTCCCAACCAGAGCAGCGAATATTACGAAACAAGATCAAAATTAATTCGAATGGAATAATTGCTGCTATCGTTAAGAACATATAAAAGAAAACTAGAAGAGAGTGTTACCCCTTTACTCGAGATCATCGTCGAAGATATCTCAATTGAACAATGAGCTTCTCCGCGAGCGCAACGGCCAATTACGTGCGTACGACGGCGCGCGCGAAACCGAGGAATTTCTCAAAAAGACGTTGCGTCACGGATTATTTTTATGGAAAATCACGAGGGCCCGTGCGAAAGAAAACGTAGGAACGACGGCTGCCGCAAAGGATGTGAAATCTTTTTCGTCATCCTGGTCACGAACGAGAGCTAGATCCATACGATCGACCTCCAGCCACCTCCACGTCGACGAGAATTGTTTCTCGTAAAACTGAAGCCAAGAAACGACATTTACCTTTTGTGGTCGATCGGGTGCACTCGTCGACGGAAGTACCAAGTCACCATCGAATCGTAGACTAAAATAGTTCGTATTTGCAACATCATCGGCGTGAATCGAAATACAAGAGTGTTCATCTTACTTCTTGTCGCTTCGATGTAGAATCAAGTCGTGAATTGTTTACGGGAATTGTGTGCTTTAAGGAACCATATGGTTTGCAATCGATCAATGATTTATAACTAATTCAGTGAAACAGTGGTTACTTATAAAACGTCGGTTAAGGTCTCACCAGATCCCAAAAGATCAGAATTCTGACATAAATATTCATGAGCGAATCCATGACGAAGGTACCATAAGTGAATATTTATTAATAATTACGAGTGTCCCGTAAATACCAACACGTCCAGGTCACACCCAAAGGTATTCCGATCCCGAGGATCAGGTGGGTGGGTAGAAAGACCTCTAACAATGTTCGTCACGATCTGATCGTGACATCCGGCCAGCCTGATCACCCAGATCGCGTCCTCCGAAACACGATGGTCGCCGAACTGACGAGCATTCCTGTTAGGAACGTAGAGCGAAAAACAGCTACAGTCAGCCCCGAGAAGCTTAGATCCACCTCGAAGCCAAAAAGTAGACCCAAATGGATCCAGGCAGCGACTCGAGAGCCGATATACAGTGTTCTTGATAGCGACCAGGCGACGAAAGGTCTGCCAGGTGGTAGTAAACGCAACGTGGTGGTGATCAGCGCGGTGAAAACCGATGAATCACGAGAAAACGAACCGGAAGTTTCGCGCAGTGACCAGAGGAATCGATCATTCGCTGTGTTACCGTCTGAATGCAAGCCAACGTTTAAGGATCTCACGATCGAGGCTGAAGATGATGATCCTCTGTACAGTGTGGTGAATAAGCCAAAGAAGGTCCAGTTACCAGAAACGAACTCTCCAAAGAACAAATTACCATCGATCAAGGAACAACAGTCCACGGAGGATAAGGAAATCCAACAGGAGATTCGTTCGAGGCAAGAGGAACTGAAGAGGTGGTTGCAGGTGGCGTCGAAGCAGCTTCCGGAACCGCGACGTCTGTTCAACCTAGGTGAGATGTACTCGGGTCATTTGGGCGACTTTGATCAGCTGCACGTCGACTGGCAAAGATCCGTTTCGGTTCCTCGAGGGATCGTCGGTCTGGTCGGTCCTTACCGTGTCTATCAGAATCCGAACGAACGAAGGGAGTACATGCTGCAGGAAGAGGAACTCGTGGAGGAAGTGGTAGACTCTGTGAGTGAAATTGCCGCGCGTGAGAATAATACAGCCACCGAGCATCATCAGAGAGCGAAATGGAGGATAAGGGAGGACGACGAGGAGACTTTGGTGCCTGATATTCGAGACATACCTGGTCTCGAGGATTTCACCGAGGAGAACAAAGATGTGGCCCAGTGGAAGAAGATCGATGATCAGGCTACCGTGGAGTATAACCAGAACGATGAAGTGTCCAAGTCGAATGAAGAGTTTAAAGGGAGTATGACTGGGGTTGTTTCGGGGAAGGAAGAACGGGCTGTGGATGTGCCTGATGAGACTTCGACTGTGTCTACGAGATCGTTGAAGGAGAAGAAGGGTGAGACCGGTTCTGTTCTGTTAATAGAGTTCGATATGTTACATATTTGGTCTGTCAGTCAATAGAGGTATATTATAGCAGCGAAAATGGTGTGTAAAATATCATTTCTCTGAAATAGTTACTCTATCAGACCAATTCTGAAAATTTATTTAACTGCATTAGGGTGAATGCACCAGTAAATCAACACGTACCAGTGAATGAACAGTATACATAACAATGAGCTTGAGTTATTAAGACAAGCAAATGATTAAATATTAACTTCCTCAATTCCTTGCTTCATATTCAAACAATTTTCGCGCCGCTGGTTAGACATATTCATTCACTGGTGAAATGATCACTTTTTAATTCAATTAATTACATTTATCCAATTTAAAAAAAATGAAAATCTATATATATATATATTATAAAAAAGTATAGATATTAAAAAATCTAATATTCACGTGTCAAATATTCATTACTGTTATTATTATTTAAAATATGACTTTAGTACTTACAAAATCTCTTAAGTGTTCGTTCAATGGTGCATTTACTCTATAAAGATTTTCTTCATTAATGATGACATTTCTTTCGTCACTAATTTACAAAGTGATTTTAATGTTTGGATCGTCGGTATGGATAATTATGGTCGAAAAATCAGCTAATAGATAGGTTAAGCGAAATATGTGCTACCGTTGATAGACGCTACGAGAACGGCACGGTTTCATTATTAACGACTCCTGGAATTTGTATGCAAGATGCCCGCTGCTCGCTGTACGGTATCGTCGTACGAAAAGGATCAGCTAGCGGTAGATAGGACGTGGCTCACGTGCGCGGCGTTGAAGTCTCCATACGTGCGAGGTGTCTTTAATAGCCGGTTGACCAATATTTTGCATTGTCTGTTCGAAAGTCTGCCGATATCTAATTCGTTTCATTAGGGTAACGGTATCGCAGGTGTCTGACACCTATTGAAGGTGGGATTGGTCTGGGTTGGGCGTCTATTGAAGATTCAGGTTGAAAAACGTGAACGTTAATCGACCACATTCTTTTTTTCCTACGTCATACAGTGGTCCAGAATGAAAATTTAACAGTTTATATTATTTAGCTTGAAAAATCATATATTTTGTTCAAATAGAACTAGGTAAATAAACACATTTTTATCGATTTTAGGTATCATTTTCGATGATGTCATAATTGGCTAACAGTGTTCTCAACATCTCCATGAAAGTTTGAATTTTTGCGAAATTGTCTCTATTTTTGATCGAGATGGATGATACGAAAGGGTTAACGAACAAATTTTCGATGGTTAATAATAAGTTGATTCGATTTTATTTCTTTTGAGGATGAATGAAATTTATTTTTGACCATTTGAACTGCTAAATGTTAATTCTAGGCCATTGTACGTTGTAATAATTGAACTGTGGATAGTTTCTGCAAAATTCCATTTTCTGTAGGATATTTTATAGATTAGAATCGAAATTCTCGAGATATGTTACGGTTAATGAAATGTAAAAATAGAGTGCATCGAATAGGTGAAACGATAGTCAACACAGTTTTACATAAAGTTGCAACAGTCGTCACGGTAAAGCGCGTGTTAGTTCTCACCATGAAATAGCGTTCTTCAAGAATACATTGCACAGCTCTCATGGATCTCACGATTCTATTACTTTTTATCCGTGGACTAGCTATATGTATAATGAATAGACAGCTGCCTCCGACTTTCGCTGTTTTTGTTGCGCCTTGTTTTCCTCTTCGCGGCGTAAACGCGTACAATCAACGCCGTAAATCTATGATCTCAGCATTGGCGAATATTCTACGCGAAAAAACGAACCATCATTGACTTCCTGTCGATCGAATTATCGGATGATGCATCGAGATTCCGACATTGCTGAATCGTCGAATTAAATGAGACGTACAGAGGAAGCAGAATTGTCATCTTTTTTTTTTAATACAAAATTTCAATGTATTTCTTTTTATTCCTTTTTTTATTTAGATTTTTCTTTATTAAGATCCGAGACAACGATGATTACCCGCGATAGAGATGCCGCTGTTTCGGTGAAAGAGCTGCATCATATTTTAATATTAACATCGAGCAACATTTTCACCAGGGATAGTTTTGCCAACCGTATGATTTTATATCTTCAGACTTTCTTCTTGACTCGATGAAAGATGATATAATTTAATTTGTCAAACTGAATGACTCTATTATCTGTAAATCTCTCAGTTTTAATTCCCGGGTGTAACGCTGACTTTTTAATGAGGTTTAGCACAGTGATAGAGCTTGGAATTCTGACGTTAATGATATTTGTTCAGCTAAATATGGTTACTAGTTTATGAGGTATTTAATGTTAAAGTTGTAACTTATATACCAAGCCTACTAAAACTTTTCTACAATTTCTGAAATAAAATTCGGAATTTGGTAAATAATTTGGTCAAATAGAAGTAGCCTTTCGCAAACAAACTACTGAGTCATTGTATAAGACCTGTAGTCTGCAATCACGGGTTTAATGTTGGAAAATATCCTATATAAATTTTGTCACTCGATCGCCATCGATATTCCGAAAACATTGAATTTCCATAGAAATTCAGGTCGCCGTCGCGAGGATCGTGCGTGACAAACAAAAACGTTTTCTTTTTTCGTCGCGTAATGGCGTCGTTAATAGCACCATGTTCGAGATTCGAACGTGTCGCCGTATGTATTCCGTTTCACGGAAAAGAAAGTGGAGAAAAGTCTTTTGAATCGACGTTAACGACACGAAATCGCGCTTTGTCTACGCGGGGACCCTTTACTTTCTCGTTCCACTTCGAGCTCGATCCGTTCCGACGATATTATGGGCGCCCGATCATTAATCAACGACGGTGTATCGATCTGTCCAGCACATGGTGCCACCGTTACGAGCTCCTCGACAGCTACGTCCTTGTTACAGATTGTTGATTTCAGAGCGTTGGTTAAACGGAACCGTGGAACTTACGCCTTCCATACGGCCAACTATGACTATGGTTAACTATCTTGTAACTGGGTTCTTTAGTTACAATTATCCACTTTTGCTAGCACGCGATGCCAGTCTATTGGTTTCGAGTGTTTACCGTCTCACTCACAATTGCGAACTGTGCACGAGTGTTCTTCGACACTGGAAGTGTTGCTTGTCACGCGTACAAGTGCCATATTTATCCCTTTCATTTCTAATGTATCTAACAATTACGAACAAATATTTCTTTCTTGCATGTTTGTGTCTATATTACACGACATATAAATGATTCAAAAGACAAAATTAACATTATGAAAGTTTCGACAACTAATTGTTATTTCAGAAGTATGCGAACAAATGTATGAGTCACTGTATGTACTTACAAATATGAAAACAAACACGACACTATTATTTTGTTCCGTAATTTCAAATATGTAACTAAACGTAGAAACGTGGGAACGAAAGGGTTAAAAGCGTTAAGTGCCCAACCGATCTTAATGACCTTTCTGTTTATGTCACGCGATGCTAAGAACCGATCGATAGTTGGTTACAAATGTTCGATAATATTGCAAGAAATGTTACGAAGAACATGCAAAACGATTTAGGAGGGAAAGTGCTAGAAATATTACTACCATGTTAACTTTAGAAAACAAGGTATTATTTTTTACAATTTCAATACCGATTAATCATCGGTGACCGACATGGCACTTGTTAAGAGAACTTTCATGCGGAGAATTCTTATTCTACTGTGACATGTTCGTAACATTTCTTTTTTCTTCTTCAAATTTACAACCGGCCTCGATAAACCAACTAGCAAATTATATGTATGAAATTAACATGCCTCTAGGTAACTCACAGTAGTAGTGACGTATAATTCGTACCAGGTTGTGGCATAAATTCTATGTGTCCAATTTATCTTGATGAATTACCTTCGTAAATATAATCCCTCACGTATAGACCAGTTAATCAATGTACAGTTTCAGTCTGATTACAAATTCTATCTATAAAATAGAATTCCTGTGTCAGTTTAACTTTCCTATGATTTACCATTTTCACGAGTAACCTAATATTAACGAACAGATTGTTTCTTTGTCCGATGTGTTGGATTGCAGATTGTCGGTCGAAACGATGGAATACTCGGTGCATTTAAGCAATTGCATATCTTTCTCCCCGAAGAAGCGAACCCAACAATTTCGCGAAAGGAGTTATTACGCTGGCCCGCGGAAAGATATTAAATAACATGCGCGCGCAGCGGGCAAACGCATAATTTCATTCCGAAAGCGGGAGCCATTAAACGGCACGTTCCGCTGACAAATAGAATCGCTGACTGTAATTTAATGCGTACATTTCGCGTGGCATATGGATGACGTTGGATCGCGCGATAACAAATTGTTAACAACATTTACGACGATACCACACAGACGTTACCAGAGATTTGCGAAACGTCTTCACACGTGCATAATCTGTTGAAAGCCAGGCGGTTAATTGCGCCTCGTGAGTCAATTAGCGGGTAGGAAACGCGAAGTATCCGTGGAATTTAACATACGGTGTGTTGAATTTTTTCAATTTCTTGCGGCGCCAGGCGGATACACTTGTCCGATGGGTTCTATCTATTATCATGGTCGTGGCTGCATTTTGTTTGTTGCGCTTCGCAAACGGTAAATGATGATATTTATGGAATATGATGATTTGTGGAATATTCCAACGGTTAATAAAATAAACGATTATTCATAATACAAATTTGAAGATATTTGTCATGATTGTTAATAGTAGTTAGGTTTGTGTAAGGTGTTGTAAAACATTCAAACGTTTATTGATTTGAGAGACTCGCGGGGACTACGCCATTTTGTTTAACAAGTTACGTAGGTTTAGGTTCCCTGCAGGTTTTCTATGAGAAAAAACAATCGTATTAACCCTCTATAATTAAACTTAATTCTTATTGCTCAACAAATTGTTATTAGTAAATCAAAAATTTTTATTATTATTCATTTTTATTTAATTTTATTTGTATACACGTGTGATTCTGTAAGAAAAGATAAGGTGAAAAAGAAGAAT